TAATGGGGGGGGTGCACATCTCCACCTCAGACTCGGCTCCATTCCATCACTCATGGAAGCCTGAGTGGCCTCCGGCCCCAGACGGGGAATGAGGTTTACCCGGTCCACCGTATATATGCGGGTCTGTTCTGTACGGGGTCCTTGAAGCATCCTCAAGTTCCGAGGTTGGCATCACAGTTGTCCGTGGGTAGGACCAGTGCTCGTCTTCCGACGAGGTGTAGGCGATGGCCTCCAACTACCTCCACCTCTGTACCCACCGTCAGTGGTGTAAGAGCATTTTGCCAACTTGGTATGGATGGCTGAGCTCCTGCAGAAGAGGCAGATACCATGGCTACAGGGGAATCTCGGGCAAAGGAATGCCCAGACGAGTGGCTCGGCTCAGTTACCTAGGCCCAAAACATCTGGACTGTAGATCAGGCCAGCAGTGCAAAGCTAAGACGTCTGGCACGAGAAGGGCCCTTGGTAGCAGCCTGATCCGATCTAAATGCAGGCGCCGCGCTGAGAGTGTCTGCAGATAACATGGGCTGCTTCGAGCAGATCGCCGGGGCAATTTCACAGCGCATTCAGCTGCACTTACGGAGGTAGCATGTGCGACACTGAGTATGTAGAGGCTCAGTGGAACTAGCAAGGTTGCGGCTGAGGTCAGGACAGGAGATCGGAATGGGTCCAGCAGGGACGAGAGTCTGGGGCCTGTAGTCCACCGGAACCTGCCAGGTTCATAAGATTGCAAAGTTGAGGTGGCTAGTGGTGCCGCTGTTCTCCATGGGGACAGCCTGAGCAATGCAGATGTCATGTGCGATTTCCGGCTGCAGCAGCGAGGTCATGAGCCATGAATGTGGTAGCTCCGTTTCGCTGTCATGCACAGCACAGCATTGGATGCTATTCGAGTGGCTGCTAGGCTCAAGTCGCGTGCTCAGATAGGCCAGCATACAGGAAGAAACAGCAGAGAGCTGGCTGTGATAACATGTGTCTGTCATATCGCCAGTTCTGCAGGAAAACCGTGCAGGTCCTAACCCACCTCGTGGCTCAGAGCAGGGGCCTGATGTTAATGGTGATGGACCATCCAGGGATTTGACCCGAAGCTTTTGCGCCTTGGCCTTGGGCGTACTGGTAGAGGATGGCAGAGGCGGTCTGGGTGCCACTCCGGAAGCCATCGCTGCAAATGCCTGCACAGGGGTAGATGGACACGGAGTAGACATAGCATCAGCCGGTAAGGCAGACGGTGCCACTGAAGGGTGGCCAGTCGGCAACTCTGAGGAAATCGCAGCTGCATGGGCCAGGGTCGGCACCGGCGTGGCCAAAGATGAGGCCGTACTGGGGACCATGGAGGGGTCACTTGCTGTACCTGGTGCACCAACATGCACGAAAGCCGGGGTAGGCGGAGGTGGTCCTGCCGGTTTCCAGGAAACCGTAGCCTTTCCGACACTGCCTCTCGGCTCTCGGTCGATTAACTGGCATGGGGGGAGGTGGCCCCGCAGGTCGGCTTGTAGAGGGCGGTACTGTCGGCTCTCCTCCTGAGCTCGGCGGGCTGGGCGGACTGTCGCTTGAGGAAGAAGACGACTCTGCTCCAGCTTTGGCTTTTGCCTTTGTTCTCGCCGATCTTGATCGAGTCGGATTTCTGCCACGAGCTTCCTTAGGCGACATGTTGGGTAGCCTGCAGGGTGCACAGCACAGGCTCGAGCAAAGGACGGCTTCCAGTCAGGCAAATATACAAGGGATGGCCAATCAGTGCACCACTCAGATCTATGTGAGCACTGCTGTCGCATCTGCTGAGCGTCGGACCAGGCGAGTGAGTTCGAGCTCCAAAGGAGGTTTGAGCCCTCTTGCCATGGTAGGGCCGACAAGGTCTGGCAGTGCACCAACTGAGCTATGCCAAGTAGTGATATCCAGGCAGCCATCATGCAGCCTACAGCTGTGTTGCGGTTGAGGGCCCAGAGTCTTCTAGAGGAGCATTGACTGTTAGCAATGCAGGGCCTCAGAGTTTCGACCCGCATCACGTTCTCTACCTGGCAGAGCCAAGGGGCTTAGTAGTAGTAGTAGTAGTAGTAGCAGTAGCAGTAGCAGTAGCAGTAGCAGTAGCAGTAGCAGTAGCAGTAGCAGTAGCAGTAGCAGTAGCAGTCGTCGTCGTTGTTGTTGTCGTAGAAGTAATGGCAGTAGCAGCAAAACCGTCACAGTAAGCTTAATATAGTGAAAGCAACTGCCATAGTGAATGTAATCGTAATAATCGCATGAAGCGGACCCAAGTTTGTTAGTTCCGAGAGAAACTAACTAGCGGAGTTAGTTTCCGAGCGAGAAGCTATCTGCGTAGCTCCGGGATATTTTGCGGGAGGAGAAACTACTGCCTTAAGAAAGGTTAGTTTCGGAGTGAACAACTGTCTCTACAGGGGCGGGCTTATTTCCGGAAGGAGAGATTAACTCTACCCAGAAAGGATTTGTTTCTGGCAGGAGAAACTACCTCTACACAGAAAGGTTAGGTTTGGAGCGAGAAACTATCTCCACAGGGTTGGGTTTGTTCTACCCAGAAAAGTTAGTTCCAGAGCAAAAACCTAACTCCACAGGAGTGGGCTTATTTCCGTTCATTCCGTGGCACAGGGTTTGTTTCCGGTAGGAGAAACTAGCACCGTCAGGAACTGGGCTGGGTTTGTCTCCGGCAGGACAAACTAGCTCTGCCCAGAAAATTTGTTTCCGGACGGAGAAATTAAATTCTACCCCAGGAGGGGAAACAAATTCTACCCCGGAAGGAGAAACCAATTCTGCCCAGAACGGGTTTGTTCCTGGCAGGAGAAACTAACTCTACGGGGGTGGGTTTGTTTCCGCGTGCGGAACAAACTCGCCGACTGCCGCAGGTTCGAGCCTATGCTAGTTTCTTTTTGAGTGTTGCTGTTATTAATCTGTGGGCTGGTTTGAGTCTTAACAAAGGAAAAGTTGGTGGAACAAACTCGCCGCGCCAGAGTTTCAGAGTTAGTTTGTCACTTCCCCCTGTCTCACTTTCGCGCCTCGCTCGGCCAGAGTTTGTTTTCGGCCGTCGAGACAAATCCTGCCAGCAGAAGTTTCTTTTAATTTTCTGCCGTCGAATTAAACTTTCCCAGCCAGAATTTTTTCGCCACCGAAAAAACTCACGTAGCGGGGAGTTTGGTTTTCACTGCCGAAACAAACTCGCCCGGCCAGAGTTTGTTTTCGCCCGCCGAAACAGTTCGTCGAGCCGGAGTTGCGGAGTTAGTTTGGTTTTCCTTCCCCCCTTCCAAATCCCCTCCTTGGCCGTCTACCTCTGACATGGCGCGTCCGTTAGTTAATATCTGGCGAAACAAGCTTCTATCCTGCGAGTTAGTTTATCTCTGGCGAAACAAACTCCCACCCTTGAAGTTTGTTTTTGTTAAAACTAGCTACTTTGCCTCCGTCGGTACTCCATATACGGAAGTAAAAGCAAGAATGACAGCAACGATAAGACGTATTGGCGGATAATAGAAATAAATGTTAATGGTAATAGTCATCGTAATAGTATTTCCGAGAGCAATAGTACTGGTAATCGAAAAGTAAGAGTGATAGAAATGGTAACTGTAATGGTAATAACGACAGTATGGTATTAATACAAGTAATGGTACTGATTGCGCTCGCAACAGCTTTAGCAATAGCAGTCGTAACTGCAATGGTAGCAGTAATCGGAGTAGTACTAGGCATAGGAATAGCAGTTAGCGGTACTAGGATAATACATGCAATAGATAAGAATACGGATTGGGTATCGGAAAAGTCGTTACTACTGGTCTGGCTTGCTTGCTTGTTCGGTTGCTTTCCTGCTTCAGTGGTAATGATAGGCAGAACAGTAGCATCTTAATAGTGTAAATTGTAGGTGACGGCGCCCCTAACGTGCCCTGTGTTTAAGCAACTTTTCAGGTTTGAGGGTTTATGTTTCTCGTTTGGGTGGGGTCGGGGAGTGGGGGGGTGGGGGGGGGGTAAGAACGTGATTGTACTGCGGCTGCCCAAATCACTGGCATTTACAGCGTTTCGTCTCTTCGCACAGCATGCTGCGCAAGGATGTGGAGCAACACACGTTGTTTAATCATCCATGCCTTTGGCGACCATGCCAAAAGCACTGGTATTTACAGCGTTTTTGCTTCTTTGTGCAGCATACTGTGCAAGGATATGCAACAAGACGCGGTGTCACAAGAAAAAACGCCTGGGTCGGCATCTGCAGGAAGTGTGAGGCCGGACAAAATTCGCTTGAAGTCTGCGCGAAAACGCTGCCGCCACCTGGCTTTTAGCGCTGTAAATCTCCAAAACCATGTTATGTTTCGGGGTTTTGGGCCCTTCTGCTTGATCCGTATTGCTGTAAATAGTACGTTTTCCCAGGGTTTTGGCAACGTGCAGCAACAATGCAAAAACGCCAGGCGCGTTACGGGCGGCGTTATTAAATTATAGCGGCTCGCAATAGGATTAAATTTGACAAGTACATCTTGATTCTAGTCTTGCTTGTTCGCTTGCTTTGCCTCGCTTTGCTTTGCTGCGGGTTTGCCTGTTTTGCTTTGTTGTTTGCTTGCTTGCCTTGCTTGCCCTGCCCTGCCCGAATGTTATTACGATTACTATTGCTACTATCTACTAATCTACTACCTATCACCTTTTGTCCATTGTCCAATTGTCCTATTTTGATTACTTTATTTATCGCGATCGATATTGCTATTGCTCTTCGTAATATTGTTACTATCAGTATTGCTTTTATTTGCTTATCACCGTTGCATTCGCTAAACGCTTTGACTATTCAGGTTGTTATGACGGTTTTACTGTCATTACCATTACGACGACGACTGCTACTACTACTGCTGCTACTAGTAAGTTTCGTGCTTCGGCAACGCGCGCGTATCTGGGGAAAAGCAATCGCGCAGTGCTCCCGCAATCCCGCCAGTACTTGACGGAAACCAGAGAACGGAATAAAACGTCAGAAACATTGGAAACTTCAGAGTTGATTTGGAGACCTCTTTTTACTGGCACACTGCCTCTTTGACGAGGCAGATGGTGATCGCATCACGACCGCAAGCGCTGTCCTGTCTGACCCCATGCTGCCGGTCAAGGCCGATGCACAGGCGAGCCCGCACAGCACTGTCGCCTGCTGTGACGTGCGCTGTGGCCGAAGATGCCTGCGATACAGAGAATGCTGGCACGTGTCCTCTGTGCTGGGGCTCTGTCTTTTCCGACATGGGGTCGTTCATGCGTGCCAGTGTAACCATGTAACGACAGTCCAGTTCGGTGGAATCGTTTCTGACTTGAGCCCGCGTAAGCATCAGGCACAAGTTCAGCCATCAGTGGACCTTGACGAGCCGTTCTTTGCTCAAGAAGTCACGGCCTGAGTCAGCATGCGAACTCAAAGAAATCTTTCAAGTTCATGGAGCTTGGATTTGCGAATTTCTCAGCAGGATGTGCAGCCATCATTTCTTCCTGTTCGTGTTGGCCTCGGAGGTTTTTTCAGTTGCGGCATTCCGAAGGACACAAGCTACTGCTAAGGTGCAGACCCTGCAGATCCGTATTCCTTGGCCTCAACATACAAGGAGAAGGGTGATTAACAGTTTTGTCTGCCCGACGATTTCCCCCATGAGGACGATTTGGGTATACTGGCAGCGCAAGAATCAAAACCTCCTACCGGGCACGCTTCTCTTTCCGAGTTGCACCAAGGCTAGAGCACTGAGGGCCTGAGGGCTTTTGCTTGTGTTGGAGGCCATCAACCCAAGCATCTCAGTCGATCTTTTACTTGGGCCAGTCCAAGGACACGTGGTACTCGTACGGCCCGTGCATGTTTTTTTCTAGAACTGCCAGGAATCAGGGCAAGCAGCAGAAGGAGCACAGGCTGCGAGTGCTGTCACAGGCTTGCCAGAGTTTTATCGGCTTGCACTGCAGGCTGAGCCAGCTCCAGATGTGGAGGTCAAATGGCATCTGACGGCTAAGTTCAATCTGCAGCCATGGCCGAAGTAATGTTGCAGGTGAAAGATCCTCTTGCTCAGATGCGGGAGCGCTTGGAAGCCCAGAGAACTGCAGCACCCAAATACCAGGCCAGGGAAATGTGCCACAACGGATTTCTGCCTTCCACCGTGCCTCATCTGGGCAGGTATTGAGAGAAGAGGCTTGTGTCCCAGGCTGGAGCCGTTGTTGCAAGGAGCGGAAACAGATTCCATGAGCGAGAAGCGGTGCTGTTGGGGTCAAGTTTCTATTGAGTGCTTGGATGGCAGGTGGTCTGACCAACAGCGTTGGTCAGGTCATGCCGGAATGTATTGCAAAAGGTGGAGCAAGGCAAGAAGCTAAGAACAGCAGGTACCGTCCTCGAGTTCCACGGCAAGTGCCGTGCCAACTCCACCTGAGAAGGCCAGCCGCTGTCTGAAATGATCCGCCGTTGTGCTTCATCACGTTCATGGTTCGTGCATGTATGACCAGTCCTTATCAGTCGCTCTGCAGGAGCTGACAGAACTACACGGCCGGCTGTGGACGTGTCACCGTGGGCGACACGTTGCCATTTATGCATGTGTGAGATCGCCCAATCTCAGGATTGCTCGATACTTTCATAAACTCGCGTGAAGTGCGAAAACTTCCGTGACTGTGGAGAGAGGAAGCAGCAGTTGCGCATAGACCTGCGCTGCGAAAGAACTGACCTGGACGACCAACAGACTTCCTGGCTTGCTTCCTCGGTCGTTAGCCATGCTCAATCGCCTGATTGCACGGAGACTTTTTCGGTTGACAGGATTGTCTCGGATGTAACGATGGGCTTCCCAGCTGGGGTCACCATACAAGAGGCGATGTATCACGTTCTGGGAAGATGCATCCATTCTGAAGCCTTGCTCAGTTCGTCCGTGCCAGAGGCCGGCTCGACGCAGCTGGCTTTGGTGCAGGGCCCGCTACATCAGCGATCAGCCAAGGCAGGGCAAAGACAAGCCATCGAGCAAGCGCGGGAGCTACCAATGGAAGTTGGGCCGAGAAGAGAAGTGCGGGGACCGGGGACCGGTCTTGACAGATTCACAGTTCAACTGCAAACCGCAAGGCATCAATCATGTTTGCTCGTAGGGCGGATGACCGAAGCTTGTGAAGGTGAAAGTGATTCTCGGTACTACCCCATTCAGATCACCTGGCGTCGTGCACTCAGCATCACTTTTTCTGTTCTTCCTGTCTGGATTAATACGATTCACAAAGGAAAACAGAAGATAACACTCTGACGAAGTGCCTGGGCTGTTTCTTGAGGTCATCGCTTTGCGATGTGAAGTGGAGTATTCCTTGGCATCTGAGAGTCGCGACCGTAGCACAGTATGCTTGAGTTTGCATGAGGTCTGACAATGCAAGACTGTTCCGTCAAGACCTCGAGAGGTGCTGGATCGGTTGAAAAGCAGGTTGAGCCCTTCGAGACAGGGCCTCATACGAATTTCACCTCCAGGCTGCATGACAGCCTTGGTCAGGTTGCAGCTACCCGCGACAACTTGCCGACGTCTTGGTGTGTTCTTCATCTCAGGGTTCCGTGGTTGTGCAGAGATTTGCTATTTGCATTGGCATTCTTGCCAGTCCTCGCTCCTCAGCAGCTCACAGAGGACAGCCATTGCCCTGCTTGTCGGAATTGTGGTTGCGTGACATGTGCGAACGTCGGGGCATCCCGACGGCAGTGGTGCTTGTGTGCCAGGATGATGTGTCCGAGTACATGTCCCAACATGCCGCAGAGCTATTGAGTCACAAAGCAGTTCAGGCGACGAAATTTTGGTTGTGGCAGCAGGGTTCTCCAGTCAGAAGCGCGGATCAGGCCATAACCTTCGATTCTGCTTCTTCGTTGGACTTGTCCGCTCTGGTGGGCAGGTGCACGGAGTGGTGCATCCGTGGCTAGCCGATGTGTTTCCCCGGCGAGGTGTGCTGGCCTCTGCCACCTCGCCGGCATTCAGCAAGCCGTTCCTGCGCACAGCAAGGACAACGATCATGGGATTGTGTGTGCAGTTTCTTGAGCCCTGTTCTGCACATGGTCTGATCCTGAAGGATCTGAAGTTCATTCTTGTGGGAGCCTGCATGCCCACGGCTGATGCAGAGGACGGACCGTGTCGTGTGCTAGAGCTCGCTCAGTACCAGCACTTGCAGGGTCAGCCGCCGCCAAATGCAAAGATTATTTGCATGTGCGCGGCCATGGTGAGGCTGGGGCGTTGTCTCTTAGAGTACCTGCCGTGAGAGGCTCAGGCCCGAGAGAAACTGTTGCAGGGACTCCAGCCTCGAGCTCCGAGTCACAGTGAAAGCGTATGACAAGGCGCGGACTGCAAATGCAAAGTTGCGAGCTTGTCGTGTCATGTGGCACAGGGTGTTGCTGAAGACATCGGCTTACACCTGGCATTGAGCACAGTTGGGTGGAATCTTGGACATTGCAGCTGAGATGGCATGACGGGAAGCTTAGGTGAATACGTTTCGAGAGTTGGTGGAAGGAAGGCTGAGACCAGAGACACTTGGCATCCACTCCGAGCCTCGCAGTTCACACTGTCACACTGCATGCTCTTCACGCTGTCACTCAAATATCTCAGGACGTAGGCCACGGCCGAGCTCGGAGCCTTCGCACAGAGTGGGCCACGACGCTCTCTCGCGCGCGCGTCTCGCAGCTCGAAAAAGGCGCGTTCTGAGAAAGAAGTGAGATGCTGAGGCTTGTGTCCGATAGGCGGCAAGCGGCGCTGACCTTCTGAAGAAATTTGCAACGGTTGGGATTGCTACTGGGACATGTCGGCTTGTGGATCCTCACAGTTCCGTTGTAAATTCGGATTTTTCGTGTTTGAGGAATGTGCCTTTCGGCGACGAAGTGCGACCACCTCCACCCACTCACCACCACACACCACACCAGAGATGCACTCAACACCTCACACGCTCAAAGCACAAGCGCAGTCTCCGAAGCAGAGACTCAGAGCCAACCAACACATCATTCACAGACCGCCGGTGCCGCGAACACCGCAGCTGGCTGTCGTCCCTCATAGACCCACCACACCCATCGCGCCGTTCCAGGGTAGGGGCTCCCTGGACCGGCACCAAATGCCTCTATACGACCTCACAAGCCGCACTTTCTCTCACCGGCGGCTACAGCTCGATTACAGCAAGCAACCCCCACAGCCACCACGGCAACAGCTGCCACCACAACCAGATGCCACAGATTTCGCGACTTTCTCCAGAGGCCTTTCAAGCTCAAGAGAAAAGTCCTACAGAACAACAAGACCCCAACCACCTCCGCACAGACAGCAGACTGGCAGCCAGCCGCAGACCCCAGTTGCAGGAGCGACATGACACGCGCCAACGGCAACACACCAGAGCCCACTGGCTCAAAACACACATAGCCCAACCCAGCACAACGGACAGGACAAAGCACGATGTCCAAACAAAACCACAGCACCAACTCCCAGAGCCTTCTGGAACACCACTGGCTTACTCGAAGCAGCAAAGCTGCACACTCTCATCCAAATTATGCGCACACACCGCCTCCGCTGGTTGGCGCTCAAAGAGACCCACATGAAGCAGCCCGACGTGATCGACGGCTATGCGGCTATACTATACCATCACTCACAGCGGCACAGAGGGATACGACAGCAGAGGCAAGAGAACACAGACCTTCACACGGGTCGCACTTCACAGCCCCACACCTCACACCAGCCATCACAGACCTCACCTGCATCGACGGCAGATTTCTGCGGTTCACCATCGACACCGTCGAAGCCCCACTCAGCATCCCGGCGATTTACGCCCCACACAACCAACGCGAGCAGCCATGCAGAGACCAGTTCTGGCAAACCCTCACAGCACAGATCTCTTCACACAAAGGAGAGCGCACACCGTTGCTCGTCGTGGGGGATTTCAGTGCTTTGGCTTTGGACGAGATCGCTGCCCTACCACACGCCGTCGGCCCGCACTTCCTTCCAGGCAAAACTGCCGAGGATGAGCCAGACGACACCGAGGAGGGCGACACCAAACAACGACAATTCCACGACCTCCTTTCCTCACAGGACTACTGCCTTCCACAGAGCTGGATGGAGAAGCCACCACATCATCCGCAACGTCCACACCATACCGGGAGCAGCCCTCAACAAAAACCACTACTGTACTTGGTCAAAGTCGAGCTTCTGCATATGACCAAGGAGACCAAACGCACACCACCCAAGCCCAGACAGAACTCCCACAGACTCACAGAAGCAGGCATACAACAAACCTATCAAGCCTTCTCAATACACAGGTGGATCACACAGGCCACGTGGCAACTTATACAGCAACGCTCCACAGCCAGAAGCTCACGGCGATACGACCTGGAAGCACAGCTGCACAAAGACATCCGCAAACAAGCACACAAAGACAAGACACAATGGCTGAAGGAGCGACGGGCCGAAAGCCAGGCGACGCTTGACCCACTCCAAAAATGGACGTGGCTTAAACCAGTTCCGTCCGAGTTTATGCATGCAGTACTTGCCATGTATTCCGGGCCTGGCCGGAACAAGCGGATCTCAATAGCACCAAGTCCGAAGCCTTCGCACACGGCATCTTGCAGGGATGTTATCGGGTGGCGGTTGCTTTTCATGCACACTGTGAGGCACGAGAAAAGCACCAGTCTCTCCCGGGACTTGATTGCCAACCAATTGTGAAAAGGATCTGCTTTCAGGCCTTACCTGCAGCTATATGCCTCCATCAATTTTAAAGCATCCCCGACAAAGCGCAAGCTTTTTCAAGACTCCTACATTGTCTGCAGGTGTCAGATGTGCTGCTCGAGCATTTACCACACCAAATCTAGCAAGCCCCATAGCAAAGTCCTACGAGAGGTCTTTCGCATCAACAGCTCGGCATTTCGCCTGGCGAGGCAGAATGCTCGAACGAGGTTCTCACCCAGTTGGTGCATGAACGCTTCCCGGAGATGATGCGTGTCCCGTTGCATCCTGAATCTGTTGTTTGTGACAGAAGGTTCCCTTGAGATCACATTTCCAGACATTCCCAGTGGGGCCATGCATATGGCTGCCAAAAAGCAGGGCCAAAGAAGGATTGTGCTCAGGCCCGGGCACCCTTGGCTGCATGAGCTCGAGCACGCGACGGCACCACTTGTCTCACCCCAACTTAGACTTCACAAACAGAGTGAAGACACAGACGACTCCCATAAGTTGGCTATGCGCGGGCTTTGGAGCCGTCACAGCCTTTCATCGTCGAACTGGGCACGGTTGGATTGGACGTTTTGTGTTGACCATTCGTAAAGGCTGCGGACAAGTAGTCTCACTCTTGGACAGTTGCGCGCTGCCTATTTGCAATACGGATATATGACATGCTCTGTCTGTTTGGGCTGGCTGCCGGCTCACGAAGTTGCCAACGTGCCAGAACCTCCAACTCTACTACGGAAAGGCATGCTCAAGCCACACACGAGAGTTCTTTGGCCAAGGTGGGTTTCGCCCACTGGTGGGACTCGTTCAGGCGATCTGAAGCCGAAAAGCATTCCAGAACCTGCAACAGCTTTCCAGTTTGAAGTATGCTAGCAGTATTCCCTCGGAAGGTGCCATGCTGTGCAGGGTTGCTAAGGACTTGCTTGCTTCCGCCGATCATCTGCCTAGCATCTTCGGGCAACTGGAAAGACTGGCGCAGATGGAAACAACGACTTTGTGTTGTGGTTTAAAATGATTCAAACATGTTGTGATTTGGTCGAAATCTGGCCGATGGAAACCAAGAAAACCTCGCATAAGGCCAGAGTTCGGAGTCTTGCAGGTTACAGCACATCCTGTTTTGCCATTCGTTCGTGCTACCTGTCCGTCTGTCAAGCGTGGTGTGTGTCTCTGTGTGTGTGTGTGTGTGTGCATGGCTCCGTTCACGTGACGAGAGCACGCTTGGTTACGCTTGGTGGTTCCGAAGGCATACCCCGCATGAGACCCCTGAACATCAAATGACCAGGAAGTATCCGGGCGTTTGGGACAACGGCACGATCGAATGGGGTGACTCCGTTTCAAGTTCCCGCTGAGATGCTCAAACGTCAGTAGCAGTTTATGTCTTGCATGGCTTCATGTGATGTCGCGAGTTGATGGGCTCATGCTCAGGAGGGCTGGCCCGCTTACGTGCTTCCGGGGGATTCACTGGTCTCGTCCTGTCTCTCCTTCGTGAGTCGTCTTTGGTCGACTCGTCCCTCCTTCAGCCTCCGAGCTCCTGTCCTCTTCCTGATCTTCTCGATCCACCGGCCTGGGACCTCGACCTGCGTTCTGTCCTCATCGGGATTCTGATAGGAGTGCTGCTAGGCCCCTGCATTGACCTCGCCTTCATCCTCAGGGTTAGTGCTCTCAGGATTGCCAGGCGCCAACTCGGGTTGTCTAGGGGTTGGTATAGGCTCTTGGATGAGTGAGAGCGAGGTTCTTCGGCTGCGAGCTGAAGTTCTTGACCTGAAGGATCAGCTCCGCCTGCTCACTGAGCGTGTTGCTGCCTTAGAGGCCTCGGAAGGCTTCGAGGTTGTGCCTCCTTCCACTCCCCCTTCGGGTTTAGCTACCTCTTCGGGTTACTTAGAGCACTCCCGCCCTGCAGCCTCCTCACCTCCGGTCTCGAGCCCCGTGCGGCCTACCGACCTCGAGAGTGGGAAGGATCCGCAGCGTGTGAGCGTGGCAAAAGAGATCGGGCACTTCCCCCGCCGTGCCTACTCAGGAGGCCATCGAGGAACCTCCGGTCGGGATAAGGTTGCACTAGCCTCCCGCCTGTACATCGTCCTGGCCCCTTACAGTGGTGAGAAGTACGCTGCTCCAAAGATCTTCAGCTCCTTTAGCTCGGTTAAGAATCTTTGCAAGCGAGGCCCAGACGCAGGCCGAAGCATCTTCGTTGGAGTTCCCTCCCAGTGGGAGGCTGCCATCGTTCTCCGCACAGCCGGCTTTGATTGGCCAGCTGGTGGAATAGATGCCGAGTGAAGATTTCGATCGCGAGTCCCAGGAACGGGACTCGGGAGAGGAAGCCGAATCTCGGCTCCCCGACCTGCGCGCTTTGGTCTTGTCGCGATCGCCCCGAGCTGCTCTCAGCTACAAGGTTGCTGCTTTTCAGTGCCAGGGTGAGTCGGGGCTGCTTTCATGCAGCCTGATCCTTATCGCCGAAGTCGATGGCCAACTGCTTGTCGCGGTGCCCCACCATGCCTGGCACCGGGTCACCAAGCGGTGCTACTTGCCGCGGGCCGTTCTGCTAAAGCCGTGTCATGCCGAGGTCCTGGCCGCCGATCCCGCAGATCGTGGCTGTTCGCACGGCCATTTCAAGGTCAGAGTCTGGATGGGTTTGCTCAGTCCCGACTACGAGGAGTGTGTGGTAGCGAAGGACGAGGACGAGTCTGGGGAGCGAGCCTTCACTGTTTCAGGATCCGAACAGCCGATCCTGCCTTTCGGCAATTCCCTCGCCTGGATCGCTCGAGACCACTTCGGCTTTGTGTCGGCTGCAGAGGAGCAGAGCGAGGACATCGCTTCACGGGTGCGCGGCTTGGAGAATGCTATTCAGGGGCTGCAAGGCGGTTTGGATGCTCTGTTGAAGGAAGTTTCGAATCGCAACTCTCCAGCTCCGCCCCCGCCGCTATCTCCAGAGCCTCAGGCCAAGCTAGCAGCCAAGCCGAAGGCTCTTCCAGCTGGGCCGGCCTTGTCAGGGCTAGACCCCGCCGTGCTCGCAGCCGGAGTGCCCGAAGACCAGCTGCGTCTTATGCAGCAGCTTGCGGCCAAGCCTGCAAAGCTAGGCGACGGGGCCAGGAAGGTCAAGACTGTGCTCTCGGAGTCGGAGGAGGAAGAGGACGCCGCCGACGCGGGCGGAAAGCCGGAGGCGGCGTCGGTTGCCGAGTCGATTCACAAGATGACCCAGATCCTCAGCCGCCTCTCGAAGCCTCGCGTCAGCGGGAGTTTGGAGGACCTTCTGGACCGCGGCGAGGAGATCGGGCTGAGCAGTTCGAGCAGCGGGGGTTCTTCGAAGTCGGCTGCCTACCTGAAGCTCGCGAGGCTGCTCAAGGAAGACCCTGCGAAGATATCTTCCTCGATCCTCCGTCTCATGGCCGAGGACTTTCAGGGGCATACTGCGGCTCCCGGGCTCGAGGATCTGACTATGACCTCCCGAGCCTGGTTGGAACACAGGAGCAGGGTCCAGCAGTTTGCGGGTCCAGTCCGCTGGGGCTGGCAAACGGCGGGGGCCCTCGACGCGCTGCTCGCAGGACGCGAAGAAGAGTGCAAAGCTCGCTTGTGTTTAATGTTGGCCGCTCTAGACCAGAGTTCCCTAGATTCGGGGAGCTGGCTCCTCGCAGCCGAGATGTTGCTCGAGCCGAGTCCCCCGCTCTCGAGCTTCAGTCGCCACCGAGCTCCCGAACCAGGCGAAAGTCACCAGACCAAGGTGATGGATCCTCGTTGGATCAGCGTCTTGATGCATCGCATCAAAGAAAGGGAATCCTTCATCGAAGCCCGCAAGAAGCTTTCTGCCCCTCGCGGGCAGCCGTCGACTGCGAGCGATCCCGACAAGGAGAAGCCCGAGAAGCCCGGGAAGGGCCGTGCGCGGGGCGAGGCGCCAAAGTGAAGGCTGCCCCTCCTGACTGCACTAATCCACCTGTGTTTAAGAATTTGAGCTCTCCTGAGACCCCTAATCTTCCCGGTTCTCAGGCTAGCCCCGTGCGTGCCGACAGTCTTTGGACTCAGTTTTTCTCTGTGCTTGGGCGATCGAAATCTCCCCTTGCAACCTTTTGGCACTCCCTCCGGATTGCTTCACCTGGCAAACTGCCGGGGCCCAAAGGGCGTGTGTGGCCTATGCCCATGCCTTTTCCGAGTCTCCACCTGCCAAAAGCAAGGAGACGCCAACCCGACGTCTGTCGCAAGCTCGCGCTGAATGCCACCGTGCTTGTGCTTTCTTGGTTGTACTGCGGCCAACCTTCTCGCGTGGGAAGTGCTGCCCCCCTTGGCCTGGGCACTCCTCTCTCGCTTGAGCAATGGGCTGTGGTACGCACCTTGGGTCGCGGCATCACGGCTTGGAACTCCCAGCCTGTCGTCGGCCCTGAAGAGATGGGCCGAAGCGCTGCCAAAGTTGAAAGCTGTGAGCTCATGCTGGAAGAGCTCTCTCGCTGGGGTTCTGAGGAAGTTCCTCTTCGCCCCGACCCTCTTAGCTCCCCTAGCCCTGCCTGGCTTCCTTCTAAGGTCTGCGGTAAGCTCAGTCTTGAAGCTGCGAGCCTCGCCCAGCCTGTCGATGCCAGCCGGCTTCACTTTGTTGGCACTCCGTCATTTGACCCTGGGCCGTACTTGGATAGTTCCAGCCGGGATGTCTACGAGCGGCCTCTTGAGTTTGCTCGGTCTGTCCCTCAGGAGGAGCCCGTCCCCAGAGTCCAAGTGAAATGCAGCAGAGCCGGCGCCTTGAGGCTCATTGAGGTCTTGGACGCTTGTGATCGCTTGTCCTTGCTGCCTTCTTCGCGGGTGCGTGCTCGCCTGGTCAACGGGCTGTTCACTGTGCCTAAGAGCCTCACTAGGGATCGCATGGTCTTGGACGCCAGAGCTGCTAATCAGGCTGAGGAGCCCCATCAGCCCTGGATCAGATCCTTGCTTCCCTGCAGCAGCTTCAGTGGCTTCACCTAGAGCCAGGCCAGCGCCTCACGGCATCAACCGAGGACCTTCGTGAATTCTATCATGCCTTCATCGTTGGGGCTCAGAGGTCGTGTCGGAATGCGCTAGCCGTCTGCTTCTCGCCTAAGGAGCTTGCGCACCTGAAGTGCTTCTCCGCTGATCTGCACGAGCACCGCTCACTGCATCCGTGCCTCAAAACCTTGGCTATGGGTGACTGCTCGGCAGTCGGTTTCGGGCAGGCTTCGCATTTGAGCGTTCTTTTGAGGTCGCAGGCCCTTACGTTGGAGCAGTTTGTGACTCTGTCGGGCCGCCCTCCTCGCGAGGGCCTGATCGCAGGCCTCTTGATCGACGACCTGGCAGTTCTCGAAAAGGTCGAAGCCTCCGCTCCTGCATCCTCGCACCGGGCTCCTGGAGTGATGTCGGCCGTGCATCAGGCGTATGATCAGGCGCGCCTCCCTCGTCACCCTGACAAGTCTGTGTCTCAAGCCTTGAAGGCAGAATTCTGGGGGGGACTCCTTGATGGGACGGAAGGGACCATTCGTCCTAACCCGAAGCGTACGGTCCCTTTGGCCTCTCTCCTCTTGAAGACCGTTGACTGTCGTATGGCAACACCCGATCTTATCGAGATCCTCACCGGGTCGCTTGTGTCAGTCTTTCAGACCCGCCGGCGACTGATGTCGCTCCTGGACAAGGTGTACTCGGAGCCGCGGGGCCTCCCGCCACGCGCTGTCTTTCGCATTAGCTCGGAGCTTAGGGACGAGCTGCTCTGTGCCATGGTCCTTCTCCCGCAGGCATGCGTGGACTTTCGGACTCCCGGAGCCCCCGTCCTGATCGCCAGCGATGCCTCTTCTAAGTTGGAGGCCGCCGTGTCAACGCCGCTGCATCCCGCGGTGTCCGTCGAGTGCTGCCGCCACGGCCTTCAGAAGGGTATGTGGAGCCGACTTCTCAAGCCCCTTGATGCGCTGCTGCGTGAGCGCGGAGAGCTACCCGACGAGGACCATTTTTGGGCGGAGCCTACACGAGCCACCCCCTCTGGGAGACAGCCTGCCGAGTGCTTCCGTTCAAGCCTTTCGGTCGTGTCAAGCATGCAAAGCAGAGACGGCACATAAACCTCGGGGAACTTCGGGCCGCTCTGGCTGCCGAGAGCCGTGTAGGCCGCCTCTGGCCTTCATCGCGGTACTGCCACCTCCAAGATTCTCAGGTCTCTCTAGCATGTTTGGTTAAGGGCCGAAGCGCTTCGGGGTGCATCAACGCCGCCCTCCGCAAGTCTCTGCCTGACCATTTGGGGTACAACACCCGGCCTTCTTATGGTTTCGCTAAGACCCACCTTAATCCCGCGGACGACCCTACTAGGCTAAAGAAAGTTAGGCTACCTTGCGAAGACGCACCAGCTTGGTTCAGTGAGTTCCTCCAAGGTTCGTTTGGGCCCATGGACGTGCATCTGTCAAAACTGGGGGTCCACTTGGACCAGCTGAGGGAGCTCCCGCCCGTGAGTGATCTCTTTCCAGACGTGCCTCTTGCAAATGTTGACCGCTTTCGCAGCCCGGATTCGAAGCTTAGGCTGCCTGCTGAACGCCTCGCTCTTCGCCTGTTGAGGTCACCCAATGTGCTGAAGTCAGACCTCGTGCAACTGCTTCGCCTACTTCCAGGCCACCGTGCGCCGAGAGGCAAGCCTGGCTCGGGAACCAAATGCTTCATCACTGGGATGTTTGTGCATGGAGGGGTCATAGGGTTTAGGAGCTCGACCTTGGAACATCCTGTGGCAACTCGTGTCTTGTGCGCTTTCGTGCGCCGCCTCGTGCCTGGGTTCAGGTTCACTTCTGTAGGACTCTTCAGGAACATGAAGGCTGACGCTCACGTCGATGCCAACAATTCCAGCCTCGAGCCGAATCTCATCTTCGGACTGAATAGGATTCGGGGTGGAGGATTGTGGGTTTGCTGCGAGGGCGGCCCAGACGTGCGTCGCTTCAATGGCCGCGATGTCGAGGGCAAGGTTCTCGCTCTGGGGCCTGAGCCGGTCCTTTTCGACCCTCACCGCCTTCACGCGACTGAAGACTGGCTAGGCTCTAGGTATGTTCTGGTCGCTTACAGCATCAACGGGCTTGACCGGGCCTCCCGAGAGATCCAGGCTAGTGCTGTGCAGCTCGGGTTTGTGCTCCCTGAGCCTTTGCTGCCGGATCCCGAACCCCAGCCTGACCCTAAGCAGCACTCTAGTGTAGCTAGTCCCGGGTTCCCCGCGCACTGCCCTACGACCTCGCTTAAGCCCCGTGCCTTCATGCCTTCTCCCGCCGTCAGGTCTGAGTCCGTGTGCAGCGACTCTGCTGAGAGGTCGCAACAGCTTGTCCGGCCGCCGCCTGAACCTTGGACTGCTGCCAGAGGCTCTTCCGGAACTCTGCCCCCGCGCTGCGGGCAGTCTTTGAGCGCTGAGGCCCTTGCTGCCCTCGCCGCCTTTTCCCCTGGGCAGTTCGTTTTCTCTCCTGTCTTTCCTTCCCTCCAGTCCGCTCTGTCGTCCGGTCCTGGTTGGGTCGACTTGTTTTCAGGGTCTAGAAGCCTCGCTAAGGCCCTCGTCTGTGCCGCGCCATGGTGGGTTTTGTGCTTTGACTGCAGGCATGACTCAGAGGAAAACCTTCTGGACTCGGAGCTGCAAGCTACTCTGGTGAGCCTGCTCTCCTCTGGAGCTGTTCTGGGCTTTTCGGCCGACCCTCCCGCGGGAAGCTTTTCGACTGCGAACTCCAGTGCCTGGCGGACCGCCGCTGAGCCGTGCGGCCGTGCTGACCTTTCGGTCGAGCATAGGCTTCGCGCAAGCAGGGACAACCTGCTCTGCGATTTCTGTGCTCTTTTGGCTAACGTCGCCATCGCGCAAGGACTGGAGTTTGTGATCTCTAACCCGGTGAAGTCTTGGTTCTGGAAACAGCCCTGCTGGGCCGGGCTGGAGAGGCGGTATGATGACTTCTTTGCCGACGCGTGCCGCTTTGGGGCTCCCTGGCGGAAGCCTACTAGATTTCGGTGCAGTGGTCAGCTGGGCGGCCAGAGCATTCGATGCAACTGCGCCCGGCCTCATGTTCAACTTCGCGGTCGTTGCTCTGTTCGTGGCGTATCCTGGACAGTTCTGGCTGAGCCTTTCCCTCGGAGACTTGCTCGCCTTGTCGGTGCTGCTATTGCTCAGGACGTCGGATTCTTTGACCGACACAGGCGCCTGGATATCTCCCGCTGCGCCAAGGCTGGAGCGGGGCGGATTGGAGAAGCTTCTCATCCAGGACCCGCTCGTTCGCAACCTCGGACTCCGGCCTGCCTGAGTGAAGTTGAGCTGGTCGAGCCGCGCACAGCTGCGGTCCGCGACAAGCAGTGGGCTGCCTTCATCGCCTACCTTCGGTCTGAGCTGGGACGGGACGGAGTCGCCTCGACCCTCGAGGTGCCTGGGCTGTTGGTCAGCATGCTGTGCATCTACGCTCAGATCCTGTACGATGCCGGAACTCCTCTCTGCTACTATAGGCAGCTGTTGGCTCACGCCCAACGGGTCGTGCCTCAGGCCAGACCTATCATGCGCCCGGCTTGGGACTTTGTCACACGGTGGGAGCGTTTGGAGCCCTTGCAGCATCGCCCACCGATTCCGGAAGTGCTGACTCGAGCTTTGGCTTCTATCAGCATCTCCTGGCGTTGGAAGCGGTTCGCCGCTATCACTTTGCTCTGCTTCTATGCGATAGCCAGGATCGGAGAGGTGCTAGCTGCAAGTCGGCGGGATTTACTGACGCCCGAGGATGCTTTGGACCCTTCTGGGAAGCTCTATCTTCTCATTAGGTCCCCGAAGACCCGACACCGTGGAGCCCGGATTCAGCATGCTACTGTCGAGGCCCCTCCGGAAGTTTTGCGCTTTATTATCGCTGTCTTTCAGGACTTGGACCCCGAGCTCAAGCTTTTCGGCGGCTCTGCTGGCGTCTACCGTCGCCGGTGGGACGAGGTGCTCCGAGCTCTTGAAGTGCCCAAGAACCTCAGACTGACTCCCGGCTCCCTTCGCGGTGGTGGAGCCGTAGTGGCTCATAAGAGAGGAGTGCCTATTCAGGAGCTTCAATGGAGGATGCGTCTCGGACACCAAAACACTTTGGCGCACTACTTGCAGGAGACGACAGCTGCTTCGGTGTTGCCTAGTTTGTCCTCGAGCTCTCGCAAATCCGTCCTTGCGGCCGACGCCCTCCTTCCCTTTCTTCTTTCTCCTTGACCAGCGCATTCGCAAACGCCTCTTGGGCTTCTTTTCGCTGATGGCCGGTTTGCATAGTGGAGATTCTGGGCAGTACAGGCTGCTTAAATATGGCAGCAGTCCAACCTCAACGATGCATCCGGAGGAGAAAATCGGTGTGTGAAGCGCTTCGCGTGCAGCCATGTCTTGCATGGCTTCATGTGATGTCGCGAGTTGATGGGCCCTCCCGCCCGCCCGGAGATTCTGGGCAGTACAGGCTGCTTAAATATGGCAGCAGTCCAACCTCAACGATGCATCCGGAGGAGAAAATCGGTGTGTGAAGCGCTTCGCGTGCAGCCATGTTTCTGATCATGGTGGCCATAGGTCCGCGTAATTCCGATATGTTGCATGGTTTGCGCAAGGTGAAATGAGCTAGTTGCAGGATTCCACCGATTGATGCAGAGCATGACCTGTTCAACAATACCACATTTGACTCCATGTTTACTACAGCATAAGCCTTCGGGGGCCTATGCGGCTATTCTGAGGAGGGCCACTCGCGACTGAGGCTTCCTGCAAGCGTTTGCCGGTGCAACGGGAGGGGCAGCAGATGATAAACCGCCTGCGACCTTGGAATGGGATCCGGAGCGAGCAAAGGTTCAGTTGCAAATATCGGCTATTACAGAGCATTGCGCGATTGATTGACCCATTTTCACACGCGCAAGCCCCAGAACTGAACGTTTGCTTTTCAGAACTTGTTTCTCAACGTGGTTCTTGGATTGAACCTTTTGTGCTCCGGTTTTCGGATGTTGTCGCTAATTCTACATCTGCGAGTTCGGGTGCAGGACTGTCCTGCACTATCAATGAGTTTTGCTTGCTCGGATGGTTGCTTGGATGAGAATTACAAAATTCTAAGTCGTCAGAATTTTCATGTACTGGAGGTTTTGCGTGGTTGAGCCTTGTAAAGGGAGCATCTCGGAAGCTGAGTAGATTTTCGCAGGACGCGCAGCATCTCAATCAAGCTAGGTTCCAATTTCTCTAGGGCAAGGATTCCGTAGGGGAGCGAAGCCCGATCCCGAATGTCGTAGTGCACTTGCCCCAACCGGCAGCTGGGTACCGAGTTGTGGAGAGTAGGGTATTAATCTGATCCTAGATTCTAGGACGATCTTGCACATGGCTTTCGTCGCGCAGCTTCAAATCCTGGCGGCGCTTGTTGCAGTGGCAGCTGCCAATATCAATGTGCCTTCCTCGTGCTTCCCTGCTTGCCTCTTCGGGAGCTCATCTGCGTCCAGGCACTGCCAAAGGATTCCAAAGCTTACAGGCGCAGGGTCCGCTTGCAAGAAATTCATGACCACTGCTGAACTCCAAGGATGTTGGCTTGTGATGCCTGCCGCATCGTGATGAACAGGATAGGGCACATCGCAGCATTTTCCCACAGCGTGGCCTGTAGCAAGCAGGTTGTCAAGAGACGTGAAGTTTCTCACTGAGACCCGCAAGATTTGGCCCGATGCTGTCAGGGCCTTAACTACCCCGTGATTTGTTGCACATGTCGAATGAGGATTGTTTTTTTTCGTAATCGTCGCCCGCAGGTTCTGGATCAGAGACTCTCGATTTCGTGCGAGGCACGAGTTAACTCGCGCTTGCCATCGCTTGTTCCATGCTGTGACTTTGAAGCTGCAGTGACCCCGTGGCCTTGAGGATCCGAGCCATCCAAGTGGCAGCGGTGTGGACAGCCTCCAGTGCTCTTAGTGCCTTCATAGTCTCATACTGGCTCTCGTTTTTCCTTCTGGAGCCTCACCTGCATGCGAGGAGGCTTGCAGTCTCTTCATGCAAGACCATGCGGACCTCATCAGAAGAGAGGCCCAGCATCCGACCCATCGACCATGCGGCCCGCGACTACTTTCTTCCCAAGGTGAAACTGCGCTGGGATGAGGCATCCGACGAGTCCCGGCGCTCAGAGCACTTAGAAGAGGGGTTTGGAGGCACAGCACAGTTGCGGAAGGTTCGAGGAGGATATTGTGGCCACGGAGTTCTGTTCGGAGAAGGCTTTGTTTCACATCTTCGCTGTGTGCTGTGAGTCATGAGCTGGGAGGCGAGGATCTGCGATGTTGATGCAAAAGGCTCGGACAATGCTTGCTTTTCGCAGTACTGCCAAGTCGTCGGAGATGTTGGCTTGTTTCATTTCAGCATCGTGTGTTTCTTGCTCGTGGCTCGTCAGGCATCAGCCACATGATCGACGAAGCGAGCAGAAAAGAAAAGCTTCTAAAAGAGGACGCCATCGGATCTGTTGGCACAGGGCGGTTCACTGCATTATGCGAGCGCATGAGATCTCTTGTATCAGGAGCGTGAGGAGAAAGAGCGCACCGCGACAAAAACCCAGGCCAAGTGATGGAGGAAGCGGAAAACGGCTGACGCCAAAGCTGAGTGTGATGCTTTCTGCACGGTTGGACAAGCAGACATAGCGACCCTCTCTGTGTCGTAGGAGGCGACGATCTCTTTCGACTGCAGGGTGTTGGAAAGCATGTCTTCGGACAGAACATGACTCCTGGTTTTCCTGAGCTCACCGAGCACGGTCACAGCCCTTCTAATCACATGGTGTCCAAGCTTCACTCGATTCACGATGCTATTTCTTCGGAAGAGAGCATTTGCATGGAGCGATTCTGAATAACACTGTTCATCGAGTTAAGACTGGCACATCACCTCACATTGATTGCTTAGCGACCTCCTCTTCAGGAGGGTGTTGAGAATTGGCCTTCATCACGGTTTCCAAAGTAGAGACAGGGGTTGGTAGCACTGGAATCTGCTGGAAATACTGAGGTGGTCGCTCCCGCGAGTGAATTCAATCCAGCACGCTTAAGTCATACAGAGTCATTTCCGGCGCATCGGCTCATCAGGTGCACAGCGCCAAGAGATTTGCAAATTTTGCACAAGGCCCAAGAGCTGAACAAACAAGGCAAGACACCATCTATCCTTAATCCTAAACTTATGGGTGCCCGCCATGCTCACCCCACAGAGCGAGTGCAGCAGGGAAGCACCCAGGCACGCGGCGGCGAGGCAACACTGAGACATATTGAATTCTTTTCACTCACACTCAGGCGCCAGGTCCTGCAAGGCAGCTACATGGGCGTAGCTCTCAGCGATTCCGTTCTCGTGTGCGAGCGGCTTGGCTGCAGGGCTTGCGCACACACCAGCGTAGTACTTACATGTAGATTGGGCAACAGAAAACAGGGACACAACTTCGATACTCATATCCTGTCTCTCTGCACTGCTTGCATCTATTTCACATGGTGTGAGGCCTGCTTGGGGCTCGAGAAGAGGCGTGGGCTCGGGATGCACGTCCAAGCATTTCAGATTGTTTCAGTTTGTTAATCGTATATCATCGTATTGTATATCTATGGCAAGCAGCCAAATGGCCTTGCCGCTATTGATGTCCGCTATCTGAGAGGAACGTGAGCTTCGAACTGCAGATTTTGCCTCGATTTGCTTTTCCTTGTCGACAGCACCCGCTGCTGTCGACCAGCCTGTTTCGACTCAGTACTGGATCGCCCCAGCACATGCAAAAACCTTTGTCTCGATGCCACGAAACATTTCACTTCGGTCTCTAGTCATGTTCCGCCGCACGCCGACAAGGGTGACGAAGGACCAATGCAAAACGCCACTGGTGTTTTGTCCTAGACTTCATCATTCCGTTTATGTTTGAAAATTGCAAGGGTGTTCGCACCCATAGGCAATCAATCAATCAGTCACATGTTTCAAAAGAGGCCTATGTTTGTGTGCATAGTAATCTGGTTATGATTGGCATATGCAGCATTACGCTGGTGGCCGCCATGGTTCGAAGAATGTCAGTTTGCAGTGTGCATGCTTCTTTGGTGTTTGTCTCCCCGACCCGACGGCCCGGCATGCAATTTCCTGTTCTGTCCGAAGGCAGCTGGTCCCGGGTTTTCGCTTCTTCTATCTTCTTCTCACACTGCTTCCGTGTGCGGTAGCTTTGCGTACGAGGGGACTATGACCATTATATCTCCCTGCAGAGGGTCTTAAGTCCATGCATTGGCCAAGAAAGATGCAAAGCGATTCGATCTTGCAGGTGCCTTTGTTGTCCTTGTTGTTTTCAGCTTTTTCTTGAGACCATACAGTCACCACAACATTTCTTTGCCACCAGAAAGGGTTGTTTCTTGTAGCTTGAACTGCGGCAAGCTGTTGGTAGCCAGACTGGTGATGCACATCGTACTCGTACATCATTGTAATCAGCGTTGTGCTATCCTGTGTTTATTTCGCAGTCTTCGTCCAGCTTGCATGTTAATGCAGGTGCACACAAGTCTTAGGTCTTAGGCGATGTGAACCCAAGACGCAAGGAAGAGGCACACACCCAAGTCCAAGTGGCTTTCCCAGCTGCAGGGATGTGCCCCCGATGCATCCCTTGGCTGGGCCGCTCCTGGAGCGCAAGTGGGCTTCGACATCGAGGAAACGGCCTTACAGACCGCAGACACCGCGCTCTTTTTTGCAAGCTCCGAGGCAGTACGGCTTGCTGCTCTCTCAAGCCGAGGCGCTGGAGGCAGGGGTGGGGGGGCGCTAGCCGTGCCCTTTTCTTGGCCAGGCCGGTGCGGTGCCTGAGGCGGTGATACACCAAATTCACTTGGACGTGGCTGCGAACCGAGAGCTTTAGGCCGCAAGAGCCAAGCGCAGCACGTGTTCGCAAGAAAATGTCCGCAAGGCTCGAACCTTCCCGGCCATCCCTGCGCAGCACGGTGACTGGGGATGGCCCGCTGACATCGCTGCCCAGGAGCAAGAAGACACCAGCATTCAACGACTCCTTCATGCTTGGATCGGCTTTGCAGCATGTGCCCACGGTACTGCTTGCCCTTGCTGTGACATGATCTCGAGCATCTGCCTCAAGCGTTGCCCAAAGGATCGTGAACGATGCCTGGCACGTGCTCTGTTGGCCTCAGAATGTCGTCTCGTCCTCGCCGGCATGCTGCACAGACACCAACCTGACAGACATGACGTACGTTTAGGCTCTGCGGAGTCGTCCAGTCCGTCGAGCTCGAAGACGGGCTGCTTGCCTGTGACCTGTGCGATGCACTGCATGTCTCGTTTCGGTTCCTAAGGCTTGCCGATGCTGTTGAAGATTCGCCGGTCTTGGTGTGGGACTACAGCAGCCGATTCATCCAGTACGCCTCTCATGCGCAGGTTGGGCTTGGAACAAACGCCGAGAACGTAAGAGAGTTTGTTATTTGTCGGCATGCGACATGCAGGCAATCGCTCTCACTGGGTGCAGACGGATGGGCCGTGGATTCAATGCCAACCCTAAGCACCCAGACCAAAGTTCAGCAGACGTCAGTCTGCGCTTGCCGTCATTTGATGGCTTTCCACGTCTTGCTTGCTTGGGTGTTTTGCTCGAGTAACATGACGAGCAGAAAATGTGGACATGACCCATTCATTACCACATGACATGCTCTATGCAGCTTGGATGCTGGAGAAGCGACCGACGAATCGACATAATGTCCCGTTTGATACGCACATACAGTGCTGGTGCGGTCATCTCGCAGGCACTATCTCCGTGTGTGCGTGTCCCTAAGTGCGACCAGCCTTTGAGAAAGTGTACTGTCCTCATTCATGGGCTAGGGCAGGTCACTCTCCATTGTACCGTGCACTTCTGTTCGTTTGCAATCTTTTTCCATGAGCAGGGGCATCAGGGATGTGAGGTTCGGCCAAGCGTGATTTTGAACGTGGCTGATGCAATAACATAGGTACCTGTACCGCTGTTGGTTGCCGATCGCGCAGCAAGCTTAAAGAGTCGTTTTTGAAGGAGTTCACATAACTGAGCGATTCTGGTGGTCTCGCAGCTACAAAAGACAACCACAAGTGGGAACATCCTTTGAGCAATCGTGAAGATCGCTTCGGTGTGCTCATCGCTGGTTGATCTGGGTGTGAAATGGCGTGAAGACCTCGTGTGCTCATTGTCATTGTCTGGTTCTGTGATTTGTGAAAGTCACTACGATCTTTGATGTAGTTTGCTGCTTCGCTGGTTGCGTTCCATTGGTGGCAATCTCAATCCATCTGTGTACTCGTCCCACCAGAACATGACACCCACCAATTTGGGATTCCTGCCACGGTGTATCTTCCGTCTTCCGCCTACAAATCCCTTGCGCCCCAGATTGTCAAGGAACCTCCCTGATGTAGACCTTCCCCCAGATCTGTCACCTAACGTTCCTTACCTCACAGCAAGAAGGTATGCATTTTGCTCGCTTGTGTTTGCCCGATTTTGCCCGTAGACGCCGCTTTCGCCTGACCGAAGCACTGTACTTAGCGTCACAACGTTTCCATTAGCAGCAAAACCTTACGTTTGTCTGCAGCGAGCTGTCGTGGAGTTTGACTCAAGCATGTCGCCAACATGGAGGAGTGGAGCGTGACAGACAACCTTGTTTTGCATGGCCCCCCCACCCCAAACGCCAAGGCGATCCTGTGCCGACATATGTGCAAGGCTGCAGCATGATGGCTGCCATGTGCCTGGGGTTTACTGCGCCCTTGTCGGCAAGGCATTTTGTGCACGTGGCAGTTTGGCGAGTCTTTTCACAGTTGTGATCTCTGTCTGCTTGAAGTGCATCATGAAGTTTGAGGCGGTGTGCAGTATTGTTGCCGAAGCCTTGTCAACTTCACAAGCCAAGGCTGGCCGAGAAGAAGAAGGCTTTTGGCTCTTCATACACCTTCTGGAGGCATGTGAGCTGTTCTATGCTCATGCTATCTCATGATACCAGTACCTTCACTTTGAGCATGGCAGATGATAGGATGTGCTTGGGCCCGATTTCTTTTCTCGCCAACCTGCACTACTGGGATATCACGGAGACCGGGCTGCGGCTGCAGCTACTTGACTAAAACGGGGGTGCTAAGCTTTAGCTAGCAAAGCTTAAGCACTTAAACAGTTTAGGTTGTCCTCGGTGGATCTGAGGCGCTGGTGGCATCTCAGAGTCCCAGCCTGGCGGAGCTCATGGGGGTCCAATGTTTGGGCGAGTCCATTTCCGCCCTGGCGCCACTCAGACTAGACTCATTCGACTCATTCTTGATTCTTGATATCACAGTTCGAGCAGACACCAAGTCATGGCATCAGGTCACGTTGCCTACTCTCAGGCTACCTGCGCTTCATATGGTAGCTCGCATCGTGTGTTATGCAGCACATCTTCTCAGTGTCATCAGGATTTGTGGGCTTCCTCTCGGGCCCTCCTCTTGTCGCGTTTTGGGAGGCTGTGGTGTGAGCACAAGAACTCAACACACAATGCATGTTTGTTGCAGAGAGAATAGTTAGATTCGTTCCTGATTGGCAACCTGTCTTCTGGTCAGGAACTGCTTCAAGTGCGTTGCACTGACTTCCCGCGCCTCCCTCTGATAAGCTGGTTGGCAGGCGGCGATTTGCATGCATCTCAAGTTGAACGGCATTCCTGGGCCCACGACACATCCCATCTTCGAGCAAGTCACAGTGCTTCTGTGCTCGCAGGGCTGGTGCACCACGCTGAAGGTCAGCTGGCATCGGCACTGGTTGGTCTGTCCAGCCACTCGGCAAATTCGACAGCAAGAACGCAAAATCTGCGACTTAGCATCTAGACTAGACTCGCATTCACACCAGCTGGTGTCTCTGGAGGAAAGTTTAGTTGCGTTGCAGCAGCAGCAGCAGCAGCAGCACGACACGCGTCTGAGGTGATGAAGCTGTGCCGGTCTTCTTTCGAACAGTTCAGCAAGCTGCTAAAGCACTGCCGAACAACTGGCGCCCTCGAGTACGAGTCTCACGGGTGCGACACTTACAGCTTCAGATTGTTCTCTGCCAATATGCGGTATGCAAGATTGCGGTGGCATGCGAGGCTCAAGTCTTGGAGCTGCGGCAGATCTCGAAGGCACCCTCGCCCTCCCAGTTTCAAATCTCTGCTCAAGCTTTGGCAGGCGGCCGCCGAGAAGTACCGAAGTGCCCAGGAAGCACTGAGTCTCAAGGAGATCCACGCGAAGAACGTGTCGGCCTCCTTGGACAGGCGCCGGGCACACGGGCACGCGGGGGCACGGGCACAGCGGCACGGCCATGCCATGAGCTCTTGCTTTGAAGTTTCCGCCTTTGAGGACCTGCTCGGCACTCCTCGACGCCATGAAGTTTGCTGAAGTCAGCAGCTCCGCCGCATCCGCTGGATCCGGCGCTGCCGCCGCGCAGAGCTCCAGTGGAAAGCAAGCCCACCGTGCTTTTGCCCGGGGTGAAAGGGATCCGTTAAAATATCTGCAACATCAATCTGCAGCAAGAGCTAAATGGTGCTCGAAGCGTAACGGTAGCATGTTCTTGAAGGTGCATGGAACTCAAGCCCATCGGAGCGTGCGACAACAGAAGCAGCATCTGGACGGAAGAACTAAGCACATGACCCGTGACAACACTTGGTATTCGGCAACGGCAGCCAAATCGCCCGATCCACCGCGCCACGCGAGGCCTTTCATTTAGGGTTTGGTCTGCTTCGTTGTTTGATCACAGATCGGTGCAGAGGCGAAGTGGTGCAAAGTCTCACAATGGAGTGGCTCCCAGTTTCTCCTCCTTGGAGACATGAAATGGGCTTGAGCTGATTTGATGGATACGCAAAAGGAGACTTTTACCATGCTTTTCATGGGCATCTGCGAGCGCCTCAGTGGGTGACATTTGTCAGAGCTCTTGCGAAGCATTCGCTCCAGCATTGAGGCGTCCTCCTTCTGCTTGTGCTGACGGTGGCATGTAGCACATTTGTCCAAGCCCCATTGCATGCATGTGGGGAGTGGGCGAATTCGTGTCATGTTACATACCGCACTCTGGTCACGAATCATCAATGTGGATTTGAAGCTGGGTAGAACCACAGCTTGCCTCATCCTGTGGCAGTTGTCACGGGAAGACGAAGATGATTCATCAAAAGCAGCGAAGGCTTCTGGGAAAAGCGGCGTCCTCAGCGCCTCCACGTCATGACTTCCCGGTCTCGCTCTCCCTTTGCTTCGATTCTCCCGCCCGCATGCAAACATATGTACAATACGTATATCAGTACATCTCCGTGTGCATCTCCATGTCTATCTCTAGCTCTGGCTCTACCTCTATCTCTATCTCTCACTCTATCTATATCTATATCTGTATCTATATCTATGCCTGTATCTGTGTCTATATCTAGCTATTCCTCCATATCCGTATCTCTTTCTCTATCTGTATCTATATCTATACCTATAACTGCATCTATATCTATATGTCAGTCTATAGCCGTATCTATACTTGTATCTGTATCTACATCTGTCTCTCTATATATGTCTATACCTACATATCTTTATGTTTATGTATCTGTATATATGTATATCTAACACTATATCTATATATCTAAATATGTATATATCTGTATATCTGTATGAATTTTTACCTAGACATCAATATATCTATATACCTATCTGTCTATCTATATATCTATGTACCTCTGTATCTATATATTCAGAAATCAATACATCTATATATCTATATACCTACTTACATACCTACACGTATATAGCTATATACCTATATATCTATATTTGTATCTATCTCTTTATCTATGTCTATATGTACGCTCGTATAAATGCCACCACGAATCCACACGTGTTTGGAATTCGAATATACACTACAAATACTATATAGGCTGCAAGAATCGTGTGCTAGCCGGTCTCGAGTTCATCCATCGAATCTTGCTGTCGTGCTCCCTTAAAAAGTGGCAGCTTGTGGGTTACCACTGACAGGAACACCAACAAAGCTGAAACAGCTCCCAAATGCGTTTGCCAAGCATTGCAAATTGCATTTGGGGCTCCGTGCAACTAAAGCATTTGCAGCAGGCAATGGATTCCAGGTTTGTTGAAACCAGGGCCACATTCGTTTACGAGGCCGCAGGAAATGCATTTGGGGTTGGTCGGAGGCTTTGGGAGCTCGAAGGCTTGAAAGATGCACTTGGGGCTCCCCGGAATTAAAGCATATACAGCGCAAATTTCGAGAGAAGCGACAGCAATTCATTTCAGATTTGCCAGAAGCAAGCCCAAATGCGTTTAGCAGGCCTCGAAAAATGCATCTGGGGTTTCGGTTCGGGGATTGGGTGAGGCATGCCAGCGAAGCTGTTGCAGCTACTAAATGCGCTTTCCAACCCAAAAAAAACGCATTTGTTGCCTTGGAAACTGGAAAGCAGAGTAAAGCATGTGCAGTAGGATTTTCGGGTTAAGGAACGGCATGGAACTTCAGATTTGTTGAAAGGCTTAATAGGGAGCTCGATTTCGCTTGGGGAATAGGGCCAGGAACGCCCGCGAAGCTGAAGCAGCTCCTGAGTCTGTTTTCCAAGCCGTGAAACATGCATGTGGGTCTCATTGGAATAGTGACAGGCCTCGGAAAATGCATTTGGAGTTGGTCGGAAGCTTAGGGAGCTCGATTTCGGTTCGGGGAATGGGCCAAGAACACCAGCAAAGCTGAAGCAGCTCCTAAATGCGCTTTCCAAGCCTTGAAAAATGCATTTGGGGCTCCCTTGAACGAATGCATTTGCAGCACGAAAGTCGGGTTTAGGACCGGCAATGAATTCCAGGTTTGTTTAAACCAGGGCTTGGCGCTTGTCGGAGGCTTTGGGAGCTGGCTTTCGCTTCACGGTATGGGGCCAGGAACACCTGCAAAGCTGAGGCAGTTCCCGAATGCGTTTCGCAAGCCTGGAAAAATGAATTTTGGTGCTCTGGAAACTGGAAAGCAAAGTAAAGCATGTGCAGTAGGACTTTCGAGTTAAGGGACGGCATGGAGCTCCAGATTTGTTGAAACCAGGGCCAAATGGGAGGCTCAGGCAGCTCGATTTTGTTTCGGGGATGTTCGGGGGCTGGGGCGAGGAATGCGCGCCTTGAAAATGCATGTGGGGCTCCCTGGAACTAAAGCATTTGCAGCACGAGTTTCGGGTTTAGGGACAGCAGTGAACTCATGCATTCAGCAGGCCTCGGGAAATGCATTTGGCGTTGGTCGCAGGCTAAGGGAGCTCGATTTCGCTTTTTGGAATGGGGCCAGGAACACCAGAAAGCTGAAGCTGTTCCCGAATGCGTTTTGCAAGCCTTGAAAAATGCATTTGGGGCTCCTGGCAACTAAAGCATTTGCAGCACGAATTTCGGGTTTAGGAACGGCACTGAACTCAGAAAAGGAGAACTTGCTCCAAAGCCGGAACACGCAACCCGCCCCGAGCTTGCCGGAACCCTGTCCTGGAAACCGGCCTGTGCAGCTTCACGGAACCTAGCACGCAACCGCGCAACCTGCCAAAGCGTCCCGGAACCTGCGGTTGCCACAACCCATTGCGGAACCGCTCCTGGGAACCTGCCGCAACCCCTCCTAACCAACCCGTGGAACCGCTCCGGAACCTGCCGGACGCATTGCGGAACCTGTCGGTATCCATTGCGAAACCGCACCGGTAACGCTTGCGGGAACCCCTTTCAGAAACGCCCCGGAACCGTTCAGGAAGCTGCCGGAACCCATCGCGGAACCGCTCGGGGAGACTCCTTTGGATAGGAAACCCTCTCCTTCCATGCTGGTTTTGATGGAGACGGCTGAAGAGCTGTCCTCCAAGAACTGTGAGCTACAGCTGCAGTTGATACGGAGAGATCTCAACCAGCTAGCGTTAACTCCAACGAGGAGTTCCACTCTAGTCCTCTAGGGGGAGGAATTTCGTTGGAGGATATTGGACCGGCCACTCGCGCACTCCGATCGCTTCTACAAGGAGCTAGGTGCGCGGAAGCGAGGGATACCGGCGAAGGTATCAAAGTTTGGCCGAAAGGTCCATAGGCTGAGTATCTGAGCGTGATCAGGAATGTTTGGTATTAGGACGCAACGGCAGCCGCCCGCCGCAGCTTCGGCTCGCACAGGGTCGGTTGCATTTTGACTTGCGTGCTTTGGTCTGTCCGGTCGGTCGTCCTCTGTCCGTCCGGCATCTGTACTTGTCAGGTGTCTCCGACCTTAGGCTCGAGTCTTGGCTTCTTCATCGACTTCAAGCTGTGAGAGATCCCAGCTGTGAGAGATCCCGTTCTCCTTGCCGCCCGGGTCCGCGCGGCGACATTGCAGGACTGATCTCCGATCCTTGGGTGGCTGCTCCACATCCCGTCCGTCAGGACCGGTGATGGTGGACAGCCCTTTGCCAGGTGGGTTCTCCTACCATTGTTCTGCTCCGTGGTTTGCTGTCGTGCCTCTCTTTCCGGTGTGCACCTCGGTACTCAGGTCCGACTCACACGCCGAGCCCGACTGGAGGTGCCTTTGGGTGCTTCTTCTATCGGTCTCTTATTTTCCGGCCGCAGTATTGCCACTCCGCGCGGCGGGTGCTCGATTTCTTGTTGGTGCGGTTCAGGACAGTGCTTGCCGCTCTGCCCGTTTTCTTGCATCAGCTGCCTGGTGAACTGCATGCCTGCATGCCGTTGTTTTCACTCTTTGCTGTTGCAGCCTATCTCCTTTCTTCTGAGTAAAGTCATGGCTTTTGGCCCGTCTGCTGGTGGTGCGGCGGCGACTGGCCTGGCCTGCCCGCTCCGTCCCCGGGACGTTCGACCGACCAAGGCGGCCGTGCTCACGCTGCTCTCCCGCCCGTCTCTGACGTGCTGCCAGAGTTGCTCACCTTTTCCGGACGTCCGTCCGTCCACCAAGATGGCAATGCGGATAATTCGGTTGCTCCGGCAGGGCCTCCGGCCGATGTTGCCCCGCCCGAGGCGCTCTGGCTACACCGATGGCTCCGGCAGCTTGATCACGACTGGGTGGAAGTGACTCCGCCAATGCCCCGTCCGATGGCTGAGAGCGGGCCTCGGTCAAACCGTGAGGGTTGGCGCATCCGGGTCCACGCCTCAGAAAAAAAAGAGGCCGGCTTTTTGGCCGTCTGGCCCACCGCCCGTCGTGGCTGGAAAGGCAGGCTCCGCCCCAACCGGTCGCTCACTTGCCCGTCCGTGGATATTGCACCCACATTTGTGATCGGTGGGCCAGCAATACACACGGGTTCCGCTGCATCGGTCTTTGTCTTTGTCTCCGTCCGGTGATGTATGGCGAACGCCATGCTCACGAGCAGCATACCTGCATCACTTGTTTGAAGGGTCACTGATCCTCCGCCCGACTGCTTCTTCCGCTGGAAAAGTGTGTCGCACGAGGGTTCGGCTCGATCCCAGTACTTGCTTTCACGGCATTTCCGCTCTTATGCTGCTTGCCTCCTGTCAGGACCTTCGGCGACCTTGTTTCTCTTCTTCGCCTACTGAACGGCCTGACGCCAGGCCGAATGAGGCTGCTTTGCGGCGTCACGACCGTGGCAGTGCTTCGCCTGACCGCCGGACTGTCTGCAAGAAAAAAAGGGCTTATGCTGTCCGAGTGTTTCGTGGAAGCCCACTCTAACTTCGGGTAACGGACTAGTCCGCCCGAACATCCCTGGTAGCCTGAGTGGCTTCGCTTGGGGATGGCTAGCCGAAGGTTAGCGACAATCTCCAGGCTAATTGGGATTTGTGTGCCACATCCATGAAAAGGAGAGTCGTCGCGTGCTACTGTGTTGCTTGCTCGCGATCGTTACTCGGCTAGTTCGACTACTCTAGCTCTACTCTCCCGGTGGAACGCTGGGGATGGTGGTGGGCTAGATTGGGCTAGTGCACCGAAATGAGCTTGAGGGCCGGGGAAGTTGTTCTCAGCTGATGTGTACGATCGGGCTGATGGTGCGATCGTTGGCAGATGCCAATGCGCCCCGCGGTGATCGGGGTGCCTGGTCGGACTTGTGAAGATCGAGAGAAGTTTTGTTCAGATCTGTGGCCGACTCCCACGTTGCGGTCGCATTAAAAACGGAAGCGACTGCAGGCTGTTCAGTGAGTGAGCCGAGTGGTGCAGATCGTGGAGACTGGTCTCCTAATTATGGGTCTGGTGGGTAGGAAGTAGGAGATCAGTTTTGCGATCGCAAGAACAGCCGTTATGATTTTCATCCGTGGCCATTTTGGCAATAGCCGATCGGCCGATATCTAAAAGATCCCACCCCCTGCACCCTTTTGCTTTCGATTTCGACATGGCTGATCGTCCCCGACAGGCCCAAAATCGGGTCGGATTGCAGGCTCTCCCCTTTTGGATCCTACGACGACCTCTGTCGGCCTTGTATCGACTGTGGGCTCTACGCAGGATGCTTTTGTGATGGCGATGGTGAGGAGTGCTACGCGGCCGATCGTGTGCCGCATGAACGCTGGGCCGATAACCAGCTCACGCCTCCCTGATCGTAGGTACGACATGTGCCACTTTTGTCGGGGGATCCCCTGGGTGACGCCGCCCACTCATCGTGACCAAAATCGGCACCTGCCGGCGGGGGAAGATCCGCCCCCTTCGATGGATGGGGCCGATTTTCTACTTGGTTCCAGAAGGTGGTCAGCCTCAACAGGGTCGGCTTGCCAAAGCTCCGCCTGTGATCCCGCATAGATCCGAAGAGCGCAGGGCTTGCTCCGAAGCCCAATGTCGCCCGGGGATCCCGGGCCCAAAGCAGCTCCTGTTGTCAATTATGTTCAGGCAGATCCTGCCGCGGCTCCGCGGGCCAAGCCGAAAGCGGAACCGTCCGCCGCCTTTCGGCAGACTGAGGCCGAGCTGATCCGTCCGCTCGGTGCCGCGTCCCTCGACGATCCGATCGAGGACTTCTTAAAATTTTGTCGCCGGGAAGTTGTGCTCATCTGATGTGTCCGATCGGGCTGATGGCGCATGATGGTGCGATCGTTGGCAAATGTGCCCCCCCGGTGATCGGGGTGCCTGGTCGGACTTGTGAAGATCGAGAGAAGTTTTGTTCAGATCTGTGGCCGACTCCCACGTTGCGGTCGCATTGAAAAAGGAAGCGATTGCCGGCTGTTCAGCGAGTGAGCCGAGCGGTGTAGATCGGTGTAGATCGTGGGGTGGCATATATATATATATGTGTATTTATATATAAACACATACATATATGTATATATATATATATATTTATACATGTATATGTCTTCCTATCATATTTCTGTTTGTTCTCTCGCCAGATGCGTTGTGCTCTCAGGAAGAGACGGCTTGGCCCCAAGCACATCCAAGCACATCCGTCATGCGGTCTCCTGATTCGCTGTGTGCAAGATTGCCACGTCACGACCAAGGAAATTCTTGTACGACAGAGTTTGTTTTCCTTTGTTTGGCCGTGCTGGAATGCTTGACCGTGTACTTAGCAGACGCGTCTCCAATTTGTTTTTGGCTTCATGTTGAAAGTCTTAGCAGGATAGCTGCAAGCTAGAAGCGAACTATTGACATTTCGTCGGGGCTTGTTTGGTTTTGCTGTAATGGCGCGTGGAATTGAGTCGCGAATGTCTTTAGCAAAGCACTCATCGCTCACGAGGTCCACCCTCAGCTTCCAGGAAGAACAAATTTGCGTGAAACTTGGCGCGGCTCCTGTCTCACGGTAATTAGACATGGCAGCGGCAGCGATGCCGACTTGGTGACGGCCTAGCTTCACGGCTGTGCAGTGCTGATCGCCACCGTGGCGATGTCCAGCATTTGCCCATGTAGATAAAGATAATGTCCTTGGCATGCAAGTTGCCACAAGAATCTGCAGCGTTGCGCGGTCTGTGCGTTGCAGGGTTTTGCTTCTGCTTCTGCATACAACTTGAAGCCACGAGTGACGTTGGAGACTTGGTGGCCAGAGTCGCTTGGACATGAGCACATCTTTGTTTGTAGTGGCATGTAATTACAACAAGCACCGGTAAGAGCTACGCAGCCATCTATGCCCAGGGTCCGTGCTTTGGGTTTGGGGGCAGCGTGTCATGAGGCCGTTTCGATACCAGACGCTCGCAGAAGATGTTGAAGCTTTGGACGATCCAGGTGTACCAACATGCCAGTCAAGAACACGCCGCTTGCTTTCGTGTTTGGCGCTCCTGCAGTTAACGATTATGGCGGTGTTTGCCGTAAGAGCAAGCGCTGGAGGCCCTGTGCATGCACTTCGAGAGATCGGAGTTGGTGACATAATGCGGAAATTTAGCATCTTCCAGTTCAGTATGGCCATGTATGAAAACGAATTTGGAGACACGGATCCGTTTCAGTTCAGATGCCCAGTGCCGGGGACTATTGCTGGTGGCAGCGACAACATGACTTGCTGCAGGACCTACAACAACAAAGGTTGGCCCTTCCAGTTTCGAGAGTGTGAAACCTTCGGGTTTTGCACGACTTGCTGGGTTGAGACGGAAAAGCCGTCCATGCAACGGCACCCTGCCATTGAGTTTGTAGGCGCTTCTTGGGCAGCAACTATCAGTGTCAAGAACAAAGCGGAAGCGAAATCCGGGTGGCTAGGCCAGAATCTGCAGAATGCCTTTGGCAATCTCGGTGTCTTGTCCAAAGACAAGGTCGATGATGCACCAGTACGAGGCAGTTCAATGCGGGTCAGAATTAGCAGGGGCATCATGAAGGGAGAGACCGACTCCTGCCCGGGCATAGATGATTGGCACATTGACATGCTCAATGAAGACAAAGAGAACATTCACGCACGAGTCTTTAAGTCACCACGAACAAAGCTGGCCATTGTTGCCTTTCGTGGTACACAGTTCAAGTCCATGAAAAATTGGGAGGTTGATGCTGACATTCAGAGAATACCACTAAAGCTGCCAAATGGCAATGTCACGTACGTGCACGAAGGCTTCCTGAAGGCTTTGGAGCTCATTCTACCTCATGTGAAGAGGTGGGTAGATGGTTACATTTTCGGACTCTTCCAGGCCGTGCCGTCGGACTGGAAGTTGATTTTCACCGGCCACAGTCTAGGGGGAGCGCTTGCTCTTCTGGCGGCTACGAAAAGCTTTGCAGATCGCTGGCCTAGGACACCGGAGGCCGTGGTTGTTTTCGGTGTGCCCCGTTTTGCAGACGCGGCCTTGGATCACTGGTGGCGGCAGAACAAGCTTTGCCAGCACCTGGTCCGTGTCAACACTTACAATGACATGGTGCATGTCATGCCTTTTCAGAGGATGTGGAGCGCTTTAAATGTAGCCACGAGTGCTTATGACTGCTTCACTCGACCTGTGAACTGCATAAGACAGTCCACGAAGCACATGCAGCATGCTCTTGCTCACCACTCGGACGGACTTGGTTTGATTATCAGCGATCAGTGGTCGCACGTGTGTCCCGAGAGTGAAATTCTGGTGCCAAGTCGCGTGAAGGGAGTCAATGAGCAACTCGAGGAATTATCTTTGTTCGGAGGTGTCCTTTCTCATCTGAATGAGAACTGCCTATACGGATACATCTATGGAGTGCTGCACAGCAACATTTCGACTTTTGACAAATACTGCAGAGTTTCGCCTTCCATCTGTACGAATCTGACACATCTTGGACCGTAATCTGCCGGACTGCCTGGACTGAGCTGTCAGCGGTATGGGAGCTGTTTCACAACCATGGCCCACCACCACCATGGACCACCATGACTCGAAGGAACAAGCTTGACCAGAATGGGTTCTGTTTCAGCTGAGGAGAAGATGCGGCGTGGCATTCCGTCATTTGCTATCCTTGCATTTGGCTCAGGGGAGTAGTTCGGTCTGCTCGGCGTGGCGACCCGAATACCGAGTTGCCAAAGCCGGTTTCACGACACAGGGTTTAAAATTGACCCTGTATCCTTGTAGGATGCCAGAGCAGTCGCTGTGAGGCCTCCATGGCGCTGGCAGCTTGGTGATTTTCACCCTTCATGAGCTTTTGCGGATTTGTCAGTGGTTATAGGACTTGCTGACGGACCTCGTGGGAGCATTTGCCCGTAAGTTCTGGATGGGATGGTGTTGTGTCCTGCGGCGTTCTGGAATCCCAGGCACTGCAGAGTGTTCCGCGGCGTTCTAGCCGGGACGGTCCTGTAGACGGAGAGGCTCAAACCTGACTCCGAGCCTTAACGAAACTGTTGGATCTGCTTGCCAATGTTGAGGCTGATGTTGCCAAACCCAGCTTTCGACGACCGCGACATGCGTTCAAGCCTGAACCGTCTGCTTGGCGATGCAAGCGTCTGCTTGGGCATCTTGGGCATCGCTGAGGTTCGGGAACAGGCACTTGCTGGCCTTTCGAAAGAATCAATTCTCAGAGTTGGTTGAGAGGACCGCCGGAGACTAAAGTCGATGTTCTTCGGGTTGCCTCGAGCTGTTCGTTTCCAAGGTCGATGCACTGAAGAGCAACCTAGTTGAGGTGGAAGAAGGAAGAAGCCTTTGAAGCTCGAAGTTGCCACCAGTGAGTGCCGCGCAGGCGTCTTTGCAGGACGTGCAGAATGTGCTGGCCAAGATCCGCATTTTGGCAAGAAGATGTGAATGTCGCCTATCGAAGAGTTCACATCCGAGCAATCCCGGCCTGCTCAGGAAGGCAGTTCGACGAGGTCCGCTGCGAAGCCGACAGGAAGGAAGCCGAGTTGTGCCTCGGATGAAAAAGTCATCGAACCCCGGACGTCGCCTCCTTTGTGCACCGCTTCGCTGAAGCGTCTCTTCGCGCCGTCAGGGTCAGCCTCCGGCAAGAGATTCGTTTCTGGGAATCGGAGGCGAAGCCTCCCGAGGACCCAACCTTCAGAAGCTGCGCGGCTTCACGAAGCAATTGCTGTCCTTGAGGAGCAGGATCACTACAACGGATTTGTTAGGAAGTCAGTGGTGGAGAAACTTGGCCAGGCGTTCGATCCGAAGCAGGTGCCTTCAAAAAAGCCGTGACGAAGCGCAGGCCTGCACTGAGCTGGACCAAGCTCTCGAGACGCAAAAAGTCTACCAGCACATGGCGCAGTGCTTACCGCAAAGCTCGTGACCTGACTCGTGGCCTGGCCTGCCTGGCCTGGCCTGGCCTGGCCTCTGCAATGTGGGACTCAGGTTGAGAGATTGCTGCGGGAGCAGCGAATCCTGCAACAGAAGGCCACGGCTTCAGGAGCTAGGACTTGGCGTGGAAACGCACAAGCTGCCAGGTGCTCATGATGGAGAACTATCTGGACCGGAAGACACGAGAGGTCGCGAAGTTCCGGGAAGAAGGGAAGCTACCAGATTTTGCGACATCCTCGTGTATGCACATGCTCTGCAAAAACTGGAGGGCAAAAGGGATTGCAGCCCGCGCTGAATTCACGACTACTGTTTCGAATGTATTGATTGCACCAAGCAGCGAGAGCGAGGCAACTCAGGCAGAGTTGTGTAGTCTCCAACACACTCGTCGCTTCAGAGTACTATGCAGCCGGCCTTGTAACTCAAACTCATTGTGCTGACGTGTTACAACAGGTTGAAGCCAAACAGCACTTCAGCCGCCGCATCAATGAAGACAAGGCACTTGCTTCCATGGGCGTTGCACGTGCATGTGCGCACGAACCTCATTTGTTTCGCAGACCGATTTGTTTTACGTTGGGTTTACATGGTGCCAAAAATATCATCTCGTTCTTAACCGCTGGCTTTAGGGAAAGCTGGAGCCTCAGGGATGGTACTTTGACCAACACCAGCCCATGTCACGCACGGGGAATCATCCTCGATATTGCAGATAAAGCACACACCTCTGAATCTGCTCAGTTTTTCTGTGACTTCACATGCTCGGAAATTGTTGACTTAGCCTCTCCTCATCATACTGACGCACGTGCGATGATGTTACTTGTGATGCTCCGAGAGCCTTTACATAGGTCAGTGCTTCGACTCTACCACTGATTTTACACATTCTCCTGCATACCAATTGGTGTTTCCGATCTCTTTCGGCAAGTCGGGTGCTGCTCAAAAACCCGGTGATGATGCTTCCTGGTTACAGTGAGTGAACCGCTTCGGCTCACATCACGAAGAAGATCTGTAAGCCTGCCGATCGGCCCCTGACGTGTAAGTACTTGGTCTGTTGTGTCTTCGTGAATGGTACAGGAACAAACAAAAGATGCAAAGTCCAAGACCATCGGCGAAGCAGCTGCCACTGATGATTCCTGTCAACAGGAGCAGCACGTGAGCGCTGACCATTAGCGGCGTTAGCAGCCAAACCTCTACGACAACATCTTTGGCCCCGAAGACCTCCCTGGGTCCCTCCCCCACTCGCGAAAACGTTGCGGGGCCCCGCTGGATCCCGCTGGCGGGACTTCAGATGGCTTCAGTATCGTTCCGCTTTCCATCTCGTTTCTTGTGTCATTCGTTTGCCATTTGCATGTGGTGCAGCGGCCCTGAAGCGCTTACGGACAGCGTTCACAACCATCATGTTTTTGGTGCATGTTTGGTGATGTTGATGTAGGATGTGATAGATGCAGCATTTCCATCAATACTGGTTGAAGTGTTTAATGACTATTTGCATACCGACACCATGGATGCAACTTACGTTTACTTGGGGAAAGGGCTTCCAGCATCCAGTAGATCATGGAGGAGTACACGAGTAGCGTTTACTTGGGGGAACGTTTTGGGTGGGACTGTATGGGGTCGTGGGCGGACGGCATTCCTTGCGGGAAGCAACTTGCAGGCAACATGGGATTGCGCCGTATCATTTTCGTTCTCATCGTCGTCACCATCACCTTCATCATCATCGTCATCATCACTTTGCATGTAGCTTTCAGCACCAGTCAGGTCTTCATGTTGACCAGTTTTGTCTGTGTGTGTACCTCCCGTTACCGATTCTGTAAGTGTAAATGTAAATGCAGGGGGATGGAGGAGGCATGTGAGGCTCCATCCAACGAAGCTCCTCACATGACCTCAGGATATCCACAGGGACGCCTGTGGACGTACCTGCAGTTTGTGACATATTTCGTGGCAAGAGTGAGTGAGATCGCTTTGAGATTGCGTTTGATATGTGTAAGGACGAGTGCGGAGCTACCGAAATTCTCAAGGCTTTTGGGGCTCGAATGTCTTGGGTCCCCCAGGCTCTTAGCTTCGTCCTCGCGGGTTCTCAAACTGGTTGGTGGGGTTTAGGTTGCCCGGCTCACTGTTCTGGCTCCCTTGCTCTTCCCACCGTTTGCTTCCTTGCGGGCGTTGGTTTTGGTGCCCTGGGGTGTCTCTTCGTCTTTCGAGGCTACCTTTTGGGCCCTTGCCCTCCGGCGGCCACTCCTCATCCTCCTCGGGCCTCGCCCCCTCCTCCTTCTGCCGCCCTCCGACTTCGGGGGTATCTGCATGAGTGAGGGTGAACCTCCTGCTTTGGATTTGGAAGCCTTGTCTTACCCCCTCTCTCAACTGCATATTGCCACTGGTGTGCTCACGCGAGCCCTGCCTCCAGGCAGAACTTCTGCTTCTCAAGACGGCTGGGTCCTTGTCCAGGATCCTCCAGCCGCGCCTGCCTCTGGCCAGACTTCTCTTGACCCCCCTAGTGGTTCTAGGCCCCCTAGTCGGGTTGCTAGTGCTGGGTTACCTGTGTCTGAGCCTCCGGCTCTGCCTGCCGACTGCCTTTTTCTTGTGCTCCAGCCTTGGGGCTTCCGTGCGCAGGGCTCGGGCCGAACGGGCCTGGACTGCTGGCCTGCACGCCGGCAGAGTGTTGCGAGGTGAGGCCGACGTTGTCCCGCCTACCCCTGAGCTCTCGATCAAGAACAGGTGCTACATTGTCTTGTGCACTGCCTCAGATCCTCGGGTCCTCTTCTTCAAGAGTTTCGCCTCCTTCAAAGCCCACGTGGGCCGGCTCTCTCCGGGAACAGTCTGCCACGGCTTCCCCACTGAAGGGGAGGCAAGAGTCTACGCTAGGGCGGCCGGAACCGTCTTCCCTGAGACCTCGGTGCCATGAGCTCTGCAGATCTTGTTTTCGCCTCGGAGGGGCTCCTGACTCCCTACGTGTGTCGGGCTCCCATTGCTGGCGTCCCAAGGGACAGAGGAGCGGCTGTGCTCTGCGCCCCTCTTTTACGGCGCCCTGGTGGTTTCCTTTTGGCCCTTCCCACAGGCTCTGTGCCGCCGAATCTCGTGGCTGCCGGCTTGGAGGAAAGCCCTACGGGCATGCATGGACCCTCCACCATTCTCGAGGTGGCCGCAGTCGAGGAGAACGAAGAAGGAGAGCTGGACGACTCGGCCGCAGCCTACCTTCAGCCCTACGATCCAGGCTCCTCGGGTCCGGTTGTCTCCTTCGATCCCGTGGTGCCGCAGAAACGCAACAGCTCTTGGCTCTGTGTCGTTCTTGGGTGCGGGCCGACGCTTCGGCGAGACTGGGCTTTTACACTGCCGAGGAGGAGGAGGTGGCCGTGGATCGGGAAGACACCCCGGCCCCGCCGGGCAAACCCAACCGCTCACCTTGCGGGCCAGATCGGTCAGCTCCTCGAAGCCATGCCTCGGCTCACTGCGCAGTTGGAGCAGCTGGGCTCACGACAGCAGGCCTTGGAGGAACGTGTGAGTACTCAGGCCGTGCCAGCCCCTGCTGCAGCCTCCGAAGCCAGCCCATCAGATGCGTTTTGTGCGCTGTCGTGCCTCAACCTACCTCCTTCCGGCCCCCGCCTGCCGGACCCATGGGCTCAGAGCCGCAATCTGGAAAAATCCGAGCCGGCTGCAGTTGCAACTTCTTGCTCTGGCCCTTCGACCCCAAAGCCTCCCTGCATGCCTCACGTTGCCCCGACGCCTGAGCCCTTTGCTGCTCTGCCGGCCCACCGCACCACGAAACAGGCCCCAAGCCGTGCCGACACCCTTCCTGACCCTAAGACCCCTAGGCGTAATAGTCCCAGGGTTTCTCTTAAGGTCGCGCCGACTGCAAATCAGCCAGCCAGCGCCCCGTCGGACGTCGGACGGTCTGCCTTTTGTTCGCTGGGCCCTGTCTTTTGCCTTCCGCGTCCTCCGGGTACGCTCGCCCTTTTCTGCTTTTCTGTCTTCTCTTTTGCACCTGCAGCCGGCTGAGACACACTCGCCGGTCAGCTCCCTTTTCCCGCTGCCGTGGCCGTACTTTCACGTGTTCCGGCCTTGCCTTCATCTCGGCCCCCGTGCCCGAGCCCGAGTGGGGTTCCGACGCCTCACCTGCTCTGTTGTGGCTGCCCTCAACTTTGTGCACTCCGGCGGCTCTTTTGCCGTCCGCGACCAGATGAAGAGACTCCCCAATGCTGCCCAGGCAAAGGCACTGAGGTATATTGAGGGGTTGGTCAGGAGCTGTGGTTCCGTGGGGCCCCTTGACGTGGTCACCGCTACACGCCGAACCTCTGAATTAGTTGCGCGCCTTGGCGAGGTGACCAGGCATGTCACCCACGCCGCTCCGGGTTTCGATCCCCATGGCCCCGCCTTCCCAGGCATTGCTATGAGTCCCGAAGACCACTGGCGCCTTATCGCTCGTGGCCAGTGGGACCCCTCACCCTTTCTGGACGATGCTCTTTACCTTGCCTTTCGAGAGCCCCAGAGCCTTTTGCTGCCCTCGCAAGGCCGTCCGGGGAAAGGAGATGTGCCAGACCTCGAGCGGGAGAGCGGAGATGACGTGCTCCAGCTAGCCCGGTTGTGGGACGCAAACGATCTCCTCGTCCTGTCGCCTGAGGGCCCGCCGGCCGAGCGTCCCTATGAGGGCGTCAGAGTGTTCAACGCCCTGAAGGACTGTCACACAGACAGACAGATTGCGGACCGGCGCGGCAGAAACTGGGTCGAAGGGACGATCCCTGGCCCTTCAAAACATATCCCGCCAGGCACGGCGCTCCTCGCCCTTACCTTGAGTTGTCGCCACGGTCGGAGACTTTCTCGATCAACGTGACAGACCGCAGGGACTACTACCATCAGCTTCGGGCCCCGGTTCAACGGTCCCTTCGGTCCCTGCTTGTCCCGCCTCTCGAAACCAGCAAGGTCTCCGACACCAAGGCCTTCGAAAGGTTCCTTGCCTCGCGAGCCCCGGGAACCGTCCCTAGCAAGCTCTTTGCCGGTTTTGGTGCCGTTCTGCAAGGTGATGCTCTTGGTGTTGAAATTGCTACCTCCTCCCATGCAAACCTGCTCCGGAGAGGGGGCTTGCTCTCCGAGGAATCTCGGATACTTGGTGCGGAGCCCTTCGCACTTGGCGAGGGTGAAGAACGGCTCCTTTCTGGCCTTGTTATCGACGATTTCTTCTCTATATCCACCCGGCAGCTCGCGGCCTCCGGCCAGACGGCTGGCACGCGGGCCCTCCTTGAGGCCAAGCGCATCTACGAAGCCCACAAGAAGCGACTTGCCCTCGCGGCCATCACCCTGGAATTGGGACGACTCGGCGCCGCCACTGACCACCTCCACGCCTCCCTGGCTGGGTCGTGGACTTCAGGCCTTCTCTACCGGAGGCCCATCATGGTCTGCCTCGACAGGACTTTCTCGTTGGTCGACGCCGCGGTCATTGACCCCAAGGCGTCTCGGATACTTCCCCTCCCCCAGCCACCAGGTTGCTCACCAAAGAAAAGGCCGCCCTCCGCCGTGTTGACCCGATGTTTGAGGAGCTCCCAAGTAACCCTGGCCAGAGAGTGTTTGTTCACCAAAGCGGCCGCTGGCCCTCCGCTTCCATGTGCTGCTGGTGGGGCGAGGCTTCGAGCCTCTCCTCGACGACCTAGCCTCCCGTGGCTGGCGTGTTGGGCCCGTCCTTGCCAGAGATCAATCGCCGGAGTATGACCTCGGCTTTCTCCATTTCCTCCAGTGGGTCATTTTCTTGCTTGAGTCGGGCCACGTCGACTTGCTTCTGCTGGGCCCTCCGGGCGCGACCTTCTCTCCGCTTGCACGGCCCCCCTGCCGTTCCTTCCGTCAGCCCCTTGGCTTCCTGCCCAGGTCCGCTAAGGCACGACAGGCTAACACCCCGATGCTCACGTCCCTCCTGCTTTTCAGAGTCTGCCTGCGCCTCTCGGTACCGTGCCTCCTTGGCTGTGCCGGCTCCTCCTTCATGCCCTGCCTGCCTTCCTGGAAGGTGTTGAAGGGGGGTGCTGCACTTTGCGGCCCGTGGCCTGGAATTTGGAAACCACGACGGGCCCGCCGAGGTGCTCGCCGCCCCTGCCTTCAAGGCCTGCCTCTGCTCAGCTCCTAAAGATAACCGGGCCGCCCCTCAGTCGCTCCCTTCTCTTGCCAGTGTTGCCTCCTCTGCAATCTCGGACCGGCTGAGGCTCCTTGAGCTGCTTGACCTCTCGACCTCTGGACTTGAGTCTGTTGGGGTCAACGACCTCGCCGTCAGCCTGCCCTGGAAGAAGTGGCGTTCCTGGAGCTGGGCCAGGCCAGTGCACATCAACTTGCTTGAGACGGCTGTGTTCTACCGGCTTTGCTGCTCCTTGGCAACGTTTCGAGGGGCGCCGTGACCAAAGGCCGGACCCCCTCGAAAGCAGTGACGAAAGGTCTAAGGAGGATAGCGTCGGTGCAGCTTGCGTTTGGACTTTACGTCCTTCTGCCCGACACGTCTGATGCCGGCTGACCACCCCAGTCGAGGGGCTGCCATCCCTCCCCCTGAGGCCTCGATCCGAGATCCTTCCTGGACTCCCGCCATCACGCGCGAGCTTTTCAGGCTGCCTCGCCTGAGGAGATGGGCAGCCAACTGGGCTCGGCTCTTTCTGCGTCTGGTTGACTTTGTCGCCCTGCGTTCTCACGACCGGCGTGACGCCTGCCGCTCGTTCCGCACTCTTGTGCCCTCTGCTCTTGCCTTCGACTCCACCCTTGGCTTTCCTCGTGAAGGGCCCTGCTTCCTTCTCCTTCGGCCCCTGTGCGTTGGGCTGCTCGGGGTCTGGTTTCAGGGTTTAGGGGCTGCTTTAGCTGTGAGCCATGGCCTTCGCCCGCGAAATGCTGGAGATGAGGCTCGAAAAGCCCTGAGAGATGGATCGGAGCTGCCCTCGGGCCGGGCCGTAGAGCCTAAGACGCAGCAGAGGAGGGACGTGCTTTGGTCATGTTTCCAGGATTGGCTCCGCCACACAGGCATCGCTGAAGAGCTTTTTGCTGACACTGGCGGCTGGGTCGACGTCGATACCATCAATGTTGTCTTGAGCAGGTATGGCCGGGAACTGTTTGCGGCAGGTCGGCCTTACTCCCACTACGCTGAGACGATCAACAGTGTATCTTCGAAGATTCCTAAGCTGCGGAGAGTTTTGCAACCAGCCTGGGACACGGCTTTCGCGTGGCGACGTGCCGAACCCGGGGTTCATCACGTCGCCATGCCGTGGCAAGTGCTTTTATCCTGTATTTGCATAGCTTTCCTTTGGGGGTGGCCAAAGGTTGCCTCAATACTGGCGCTCGCCTGGACCGGGATGCTACGCATTGGGGAGGTTCTGCAATCTACCAGGGCACACCTCCTACTACCTGAGGACACCGACCTCACGATCGACTACGCCCTCTTCTCCATAGACGAGCCCAAGAATCGGTTCAGAGCCGCGAGACACCAAAGCGTTAAGATCGACCAGCCCGATCTGCTTAGTGTAATCTCTCTTGGCCTGAGGGACCTCGCTGCCTCTGAACGCCTTTGGCCGTATTCGGGCCAGACTCTGCGAACCAGGTTTCGACAGATTTGCTCGGCTCTTGGTTTGCCGACTGCTCCTAGCAGCGGTCGCCCCTACCTCGAGCTGGCGTCGCTGAGGGCTGGTGGTGCAACATGGCTTATGATTGTCACCGAGAACGCCGACTTAGTTCGGAGACGAGGGCGGTGGTTGACACACCGCATCTGCGAAATCTATGTCCAGGAGGTTTCGTCGGTGCAGTTTCTACCCAGCCTAGAAGGCGGAACGCGAGCAAATGTGATGCGGGCCCTGAAAGGTTTCCCGGAGCTACTTGACCAGGCACGCTCGCTCGCGGCACTTCGCATCCCGCCAGGGCTGTGGTATCATTTCTTCTCTGCGGGCAAGCAGCCTTCTCGAACTTACAACGGGAGGACTGGGTGAGCAGAGTGGGATGTATGTTTCTCCTCCGGCCACCGGCCGTCGTACCTGTGAACAATCCTTGCGCGGGTGCAAAAAGCTGTGCACGCGCTGAAGGGAGACGCAGTACGAGTCCTTGATATGTGTAAGGACGAGTGCGGAGCTACCGAAATTCTCAAGGCTTCCCACCTCGCCCGCCCGCTCCCCGCAGAGTGGGATGTATATTTCTCTTCCGGCCACCGGCCGTCGTACCTGTGAACAATCCTTGCGCGGGTGCAAAAAGCTGTGCACGCCCTGAAGGGAGACGCAGTACGACTCCTTAGATAGTCAGGCATGTAGTCAGGCACAATGTTATCAAAGCTCAGCTTGGAGACCTGCACATGTGTGCGCGTGTGTGTGTGTGTGTGTGTGTGAGAGCCATGATACTAAGCTAAAGGTTCATGGAAATCAGTTGAAGGCAGGGGGCAGTGCATGCCTGAGAGTCACTGCCGAAACGAAGACACTGTCAGCGCATGGTGAAATCTGGTCTGATCAGCAGACGTACCTGCAGTTTTCCACCTTATGGCACCAGGCTAAGCGGAGAACTGGGACATTTCGTGAAGCTGCTTCGGGTAATCAGTTGTGTTCTCAGGTTTCCGACCGCCTAGCAAGGTAAATGGTACTGGATGGTTAGGCAAAGGCTAATGGGCAAAATTGGATGGACCCATTTCTCCGCGCGTGCATGGGCGTGGGTGCTGCGTCGTTTGGAGTAGTCTCAGACATCTCCATATGATTTCGTTTCCCCTGAGCAGGTGGAACAGATAGTCAAGCTAGAGATGCTTGAGCAGGACGGTTCCGCACATGTTTCGGAGCCATCATTAGCTGCTTGGCCGGACCGGCTATTGTCCGACGGAGAGAGCCGCAAGGACATGGATTTGGAACGCACAGTGCGCACAGCCGCGATGAGCGACCTGTCGGCAGCCGTTGAAAGGCGCCGAATTGCCTCGCCATATTGGCAAACCCACCATGCTCAGAACTGTAGAGTGTTCTGCTGTTGTTGGAAGGCGCCGTCACGACGTCAACGAGGCTGAGTACTTCGAAACCTGGCGATATGAAGCTGCACTCGAGGCTTTTCACTGGTCTCCTTGAGCAGCTGGAGAAGGCAACGCCTGTGCAGGCAGCAACGGAAGCCTTTGAGGCAACGGCTGGACGATACAGGACGCAGCATTGCCTGCCCCGAGCTGCAGATCAGTCATGTTTGCGTGATCGTGGGTCACCAAGCCGAGGCTGACATGTCACAGGCATTGTCAAGAATGGCCGATCGCCGATCACCGGAGTTTTCGTCGAGAGTGGCCCCGTTCGAAAATTTTGGACTTTGTTGACAGTCAAGAGTTAGTACACGCAGAGCTTATTTGCTGGAGCCTGTGCGAGACTAGGTAGACAGGTGTAGCACATGATGCGCCGACATCTCATTCTCTCGCTTTCTTCATGAAGAGGTTCGTAAGTGGCAGCAAACGCGTATAGACATGACTGGATAGGACAAGATGGTCGGGCCTCGAGATCCAAGCATGGTTCAAGCGGCATCAAAAAGCATGACTACCCACAACATATGCGCCAGAGCTCTGCGGCTCCGCACGATTTTTGCCAGAGATGGAGTTTTCGCCTTTAACAGTCAACTTCAAATTCACGGCTGTTCCCGACGAGCCGCTTGCATCAGCTTCAGAAGGCAAGCATATCGGCTGTGATCGGCAAGAGTGTCTTCCTCTGCAACGTGCAGCTTCCAGCCAGCCCACTCGCTGGTAAAGCGAGGGTTTCCATCAACTTTCCGGGTTTCCGACTCGGAGTTCAAGCAATGCATACATGCATCCATGTCATCAGGCGTAGGGTTTTGGAAGCACTCCAACTTGCTGACAGTTGATCGTGCTGCTTATATCAATCTACCCTGAACACCACTTATTCGTGTCGCATTGACAGGGCCACACGAGTCGCCCAGTGCTTGCTCTTTAGCTGCTCGCGCAAGCCCGGAACATGTGGGACACACGAGTCGCTCTCACGAAGCCGCGGAGTAGATGTGAACATGGCACGAGTGCGTGCCGCACCACATGGTCCCACTCGAACTTTCGGCGCCTTTTCCAGGAAGATCTACGCCATCGAAAAGCTCACAGGCACTTAGAGACGGTAGGCCAAGCAGCCGTTTTTCCGTGTCGTCTGCGGCCACCGACGAGGCAATTGCTTGCAGCGTCTTACTTTCGATCAAGCAGAACAAAGCCAGGCAAGGCAAGATGGGTTTACGCACCCACAATGCTTGTGGTGGACAAGGCATCGCTCTTCCAACAGGCAACCGAGGACGGATTTCAACGGATCCGAGAAGTGACTGGCTTGACCGACGTTATGGAGATCGTGCAGAAGCTGTAAACTCAGACTACCAGCACAAGCATAGGGGCGATGCGCAATGCTGCGTCACCACTGTGCAGATTCCTGCACCGGGAAGATGAGCACGAGCAGTGCCCAGCCGCACTTGGGGATGCTTAGGATTCGTCTCATGCTTGTGGCTTTTTAGATCTCTCGCACCAAAGCCCTCGGGACGGTGTTAGTCAGTTAGTGTCCCCAGGCTGAAAAGTACTGTCAGAGAAGCGGAAACCCGGCTCCACCAATTGCGTGAGGAGGAGGCCCACCATCCGACATGGCGCGCTATGGTAAACACCGTTCGCTGACCAGATCGGCCGAGGCGAGTCGCCCCTGCGAAGATGCAGTGGCCTGAGAAGAGTTTCCCGCGGCGTATTGGGGTTTTGCGAGTCGTCCTGACTCCTGACTGACTCTCTTCTTTTTTCTTCTTCTCTCTCTCAGCCCTCAGCTCTCTCTCTCTCTCTCTCTCTCTCTCTCTCTCTCTCTCTCTCTCTCTCTCTCTCTCTCTCTCTCTCTCCTTCTCTGCTTCGCCACTTCGCGGCTTCGACTTCGCCGAGGCCCTGATCGATGCCAAGCCCGAGACTCGAGGCCGGCCAAGGGCCTTCAACGATTGCAAGGGCAAAGCGGCAAAGGGGCACAGCGCGTCCCGCGGCGCTACCTTCGCTGCCCGCGGCCCGCGGAGCCTTCTGCAGGACTTGGAGTAGAAGTGACCGAGTTTGAGCAGATGCTGGAAGATGTCAGACAAGATCACTCCGAATCGGCCTTGGATCACTGCCTTTTGCATCAAATCTGTCGTTTTGCTCGCTTTTGCATTCTTTCGGCCCAGGACGTGCAGGAACAGCTGAAGCAAAGCACCCTGCTTGTCGACAGCCTCAAGCGATGGAACCTCAGCACTTCAGAGATCTTCAGAGCGCAGAGTTTTTGCAGGATCTTAAAGGAGGCCTTGTGAGGCTTTCACAGGCACGACGGGTGTTTCTCGGCCTTTACGAGGGGTCGCCAGTCAGGCTGGTCAAACCGACTTGCGAAGTCCCTGGTCATTTGCTCAGCAAGATGATGGAGCCAAGAACACATCAGAAGCGAGCACTATTGAAGGCACCCATCCAGGAAATCAAAGCAGTGCAGGCTGAGCAGTCGCCCCAGACTCTCTTATGAGCCTTATCCTTTGAGAGCCGCTCTGTGTGTGTCTGGGCGGGTGAAGGTCTGAGCTTCCGCGCTTCTTCAATCACCTCGCAAGAGCCTTTGTCGATGAAGTTCGCATCGCTTGGAGAGCCAAGGGCGAAGCGTCGCTTCGCTTCGCTTGGAGGTGCAGGTGGTGCACGAGTTCTTGGATCGGGCCCACGCGGAGATGCCCGATGCCAGGCCTGCACACGGGTGTTGTTTCAGATTTTGCAGCGAAGCTTCACTGTGCTGAAGGCTCGTGAAGATCACCAGCGAAGCCACCCACAAGGACTTCAGCGATCAGGGCAAGTTGCTGCACGACAAGGTGCGACGCTGCGAAAAAACGTGTGCCCGCCGGGTCCATTCTCAAAATCGTGACGGTGCGAGGATTTCCTGCGGTCCAACTGCCGCGTCGCCACTGCAGAACCGGTGGCGGCCTCAGATGCCTCGGTCTTTGTCTTCTCTCGTCGAAGAGGGGCAGAGGGGATTGAGGGGAGTAAGGGGACTAAGGGGAGGGGGACACTCACCTGCTTATTGTCAGGTCAAAGACGACAGGCGCGGCGATATGGTCTGAAGTCTCGTTTTGCCATGAGCCACCATCCAAAGAACAAGGCAAAAGAAGAAGGATGAGGAAAGAGATCAGGAGGAGGACGGCTGCACAGCTGGGCTGAGACAGCAACAATACTGTACGTTTGCTTCCATCCAGGAAAAGAGAGGAGTCATCGAGTTTGCGACGGACAGGGAGCGCGTCAAAAAGGAGGCTGCGGACAGAGACCAGCGTTTCCCGCGAGCGAAGGTGGTCGGATCCTGAGAAGACTTGTCCTGAGAAGACTTGTCGTTAGTCGACATACTGCGACAGCAGCTCACTGCAGCTGGATCACGAGGTGGCGAGGGGTCGAGCTCGAAACTGAGAGCCACATGCGACGAGTCCGCTGTGAGAAAGATCGTCTTCTCGCAGCTTGTCCATGTCAATGTGTCGCTTTTGCGCTGTTCTCTTGAAGACTTTGGCGGCGAATGCTCGGCTGACTCGCATGATGTAGCTGCCATGCTGCCGCCCATGTAATATCAGACTTTGCTGACTCATGCCCACAACAGCTGCATTTGCCCGTCTTAAGAGGGCAGCTGTGGCAAGCAGGCATGAAGTAGACACCAACCGACGGGCTTGCACTGAGCTGCTCGCCATGGCCGGTGCGGGGCAACTTCAGACCACACCCGGCCAGCAAGGCCATTGTGCTTCGACGGGATTCGGATGCACTTTGGAATGGCGTCTCCATGAGGCCAGCAGAAGGATCGCCGACGTCCTGATCGAGAGAAATATCGGGAAGCAGCGGCCAATAGGTCTGAATCCAAGAAAACTCCGTATGCGACTGGCAGATTGTACCTGGTGTCAGGCAAGTGCGATTGCATGCTCCTCGACTTCACAGTCCCATGATTCGTCTTTGTAGCAGCTGCTTCGGGGGTGTGTCCGGAGTCCGGTCGTAGCAGCCGGAGGGAACGAATTTAAAGCCTCCGGTTCTTCAGATGTTGTATCCTTGCAGAGCAAAGACTTCTTCTGATACTGAGGAAGCTGCCTGGGATGAGTGTATACGCCGAGAGAAGCTAGCAGCCGCAGAAGCTGCTCGAGCCCAAAAGGCCACTGGGCAAGGCGGCCGTTGCAAGACCGGTCGGGCCTGTGAATGCTTGGACGGAGCGCTGCCCTGCAGGCGATTGCTATGAGTTCAGCGTTCAGTACGCCACTTCCTTCGGTTGAAGACTCAGGTACAAGATGGCATGAAAAGGTCAGAGGCGAGGCTGACCCATTTAAGCATGCAAGGTCAGGAGCTCTATATGGTGGGCTCCTGTGAAGAGTTGGGCAGCTGGACTTTGTCTCGAAAGGTTCGCAGTAGAACTGGTCAGTTGACGAGCTAGTGCATGGCATTTTCAGGTCCACATGGCATGGACGGACGGCAACATCTGGCGAGCAAAGGCAACTGGGTTCTCTCTTGCATGACTCGAAAGCGTGTGTCACTCGTGTGTCTTGCGGCTTGAGCGTGCTGAGTTGAAGATTCCTTTGGAGCGTGGAGCCTCTTGCCTTCAAGATGGGGGATCCGGTGGATATCTCGAAATTTCTTGTAATACCTTTCTCTGCCAAGGTCATCGAGTACAAGTACATCGTCGCACAGGAGGATTCTGGGTTTTGCAAACTCAGGTGCGAGCAGAGTGACCTATTCTCCACGTCCGTAGTTACTTGCAATGCAGGGGTCGCTTTGCTTTTTTGTTTGCGATTTGCGAGACACTGAGGACAATTGCGAGTTGCTTCGCGGCATTGAGAGGGTAGCGTAGATGTGCTCGAAGTGAGAACTATTGAGATGAGCATACTTCGACCAATTCGATCAAATCATGCCGAAGTCCGGGTTCTTAAAACACCTTAAAGTATCTCTGCGGCCATCTAGGATCCAGCTTGATAAACTGTCTTCCCTGCATCTTGCTTGACCAGTTGAACGAGTTTTCAGCGACACAGCAAGATGACGCCTGTGTTCTTGGGCTTTGCAAAGAAACCGCGATAGACAGACGAGTGTGCTCTCCAACATGTGGCGGTGAACTCGCTCGGGACACCGCTGTGTCCGACAAGCAATGGCCTCAACTTTCCAAGGGGGGTTTGCCAACTCGGCAGTCGCGGTAGCGCTCGATGAGGCGATGAGAAACGCGGCCTCCTTCCGCAATACCAGGAACTTAACATTTGAAGCCCGAGTCGTTCCATTGGGTTCCAGATGGCAAGTATATAGGTCCAAATGTGCGGGTGTCATCCCACCCACCCTTCGCTGACGTTCGTTTGCTTTCTGTCTGCTGAAAAATATGCTTTCGAAGGAATCGGCCCGTCCTCCCCGATTCAAAGAATCAGTCAACGCAGCGGATCTCCGGTGGACTTCAAAAGAAGTCCAGCCATGGCCAGCTTGGCTAATTGTCGAAAGCAGAGGCGAAACGAGCTTCCCACGTATGTATGTATGCTTTGGAGTGAAAGGGAACGGTGCATATGCGACTCTTCGGCTCTAGAATTGTCAAGGGCACAGCCGAAAAAAGCCGCACGCCACATCGCGATCAGTGCGGGGAGTTGGCGGTCCCTGTTGAGGCTGCCGGGGGCAGAAAATTGTTCCCTTCAGACTGCTCAGAAGTATTCCTGACCAATGTGTTGAAGCCCCGCTGTGAAACATGCGTTCTGTGAAGGTATGGGTAATGACAGATGATCACAGATGCACGATTGTTCGGATTACCGTGCATTGTGTCAGAAAGGTTGATGATGAATCGATTAAGCCCTTGCCCACTCCCTGCAAGCTCCAATTTCCGAACGCACGAACATGTGGCGAAACAGTTTGCTCAATGTTGCTGTTCGCTCCTCTTTCACCACCCGTGTTGTCACAGCAGCATCCGAGGTGGGAGTGTGGATACAATCATCGCGCTGAGGCGCTGCGAACAAGTTGCGTGCACTATTGTCTCGGGTTCCGTGCACCTGTTTCGTAGCATGGTGCTTCTTGAGTCATGGTTATCGCTTTGTCGGTGCATGAAGTGAAGCAACCCCTGCAGTGCTGTACCGGCGGTGCCACGCTTGCGGATTCCTGGGGTCAAGGCTGAGACAGGACGGCCTTAGCCGGTGTGGATGTTTCACAGAGAGGCCTGTCATCGCATAGGGTTAATCTGGGCAAAGGACCGTTGCAGAACAAAAAGTTGCGAAGAGCGAGGCCAATTCAGAAGAAGATTCTCTAAGCCCAGCCGTTCAGTAACGAAGCTGAATCCTAGATCACGACCTCCCCGGTGGATCGATTCGATTTTTGGCTCAATTCAGAGTCAGAGACCTCCGGTATGATCAAGTTGGAGTAACTTGGTTCGGGGCATGATCTACTACCGGACGCAGTTCGGGGCCCCGGGAAGCGGGCGTTTCATTCCCTTGGCGTACTTCGACTAGCTGCTCGAGTGAGGTCATGGTACACGCAGATTGCGCGATGGTACGGAACGGTTTGGGGAGAGGCCAGGCAGGATTTCTTGTGGCTGCAGATGTGCCGCTGCAGCTTCGAGGTAAAGGTGAAGGCGATTGTGATGCTTATTTACACCTCTGCCTCATATTGGTTGTCTGCGGCCCAGCTCCAGTTTGCCTGTGGTCGTTGTGTTCGAACCTCCGAGCGTGAAGGTGCGTGAAAGAAGGGCACAACTTGGGCAGAACAAGGCAGTATCCAATGCAAGAAGGAGATCTGTTGCATGGACATGTCACCGGAGGAAGAATATTCTCGGCTCCACCATTTCGTTCCTGCTCATCTTCCGTGCGAACAACGGGTACAAACGTTACATGAAGGCAGTCGGTTATGATGCGGTAGTTGTGCAGTGTCCGAGAGAGCATTGATCCGGAGGGGCGTGCGGCTTGCATTCACTTCTTCTGCGTTTTGCGAGAGATCATTTGCACCTGCAGGCCCCTCAGTTTGTGGACAGTCAGCAGACATTCAGGTTCACACGTCCTCGGAATGTGGGTTTGTGCTTGGAGATCTGAGATCTGGTGTTTCTTGCTGGCGGGTCGGGCAACAGACGCTGGGTGCTCAGCCTCGTCCAGGCAATGTGAAGGAGAGGGTCTGGGTTGGAGATCACTGCAGCGTTCGTGTATGCATATGCAGTATCAGTTCATGTCGCGAATGTATATTATGCCACCAAGGGCTCCGTTGGCGCCGGGTTGGTCCGAGCTCTCGACCTGTTACGCAGGCTCATAGAAGACCTACAGCAGTTCTTTGTGCATGAAGTCGCCTAGAATCTAGAACTCTGCCGGGAAGGAGGATGTTGAGATGGATGTCGATGACAAGATTGCAAGTGAGGCATGCAGATTGGATGCAGATTAGGTTGCCAGAGACTGCATTGTGGAGGAAAGAACGGAGGCTGTCCGATGGTGCCTCATCATGGCCATCGCGTTCCAGATGCCACTCGCCAGTAACATCTTCTTGAAACTTTTCTCACCTTGAATTGCTGTGGGTCCCTGAATGGAAGGCATGCGCGCTTGCTTGATCAAGGTAGGGGTTGGGACAGGGCGTGGTTGTGACTCTGCATTCGTCAAACTCGATCCGGAGGCCTCAATAAAGGAAGAATTACAGAGGAGACGAAGCGCAGGGTGGATTGGGACAGGTATCGGATCAGGCCTTCCGTCAAAGCCAAACATAAGCGATGCTGCTGGGTTTTGGCCTGTGCCAGGGGTCTCACGAACGAGAATGAGTTTCGCAGCTTGGATGGGATTGCCACTTGTCTCCGAACGTCTTGTGCACGGTCGCATGACGAAATGTGTGGCTTGTGTTGCTGATTATATACCTTTCGCAGAGCCCAATGCAGTAGAGGTGCGGGCTGTCGCGGCACCGCAAACTGGTTGGGCGACACCTCAGTATCCCGACCTTCCAGCGGTAGAGGAGCACCTGAACCTTGGAGCCCAACGTTTTTGGCCCGGTTTACGGCGCGGCCAGGAAGTCTTCGGACCGGAAGCGAGCACACTGCAGGACAAATCCAGACCGGCATACATTTCTTGAGGGTCGTGTTTCTTGGGTCTGTTTGCTCTAGCCCCACATGCTACCCACCCCGCCCGGAACCCAAACTTGGCCAGACACCTTAAGATTGAGTTGAGTCGAAGCATGCCTTGACCGTGTTTCGATTTCTGGCACTCATTGTTTTGGGACTGTGTCTAGAAATGGCTTCTTGAAGTCCTCGCAACCTTCAATTTATTTGTGGCAATTTCTAAGCCAAGCACTCACAAGCCAAAGGAATCACAGAATGAGCCCCTTCCTCGAGACAATGTCCAAGACCCAAGTAGAATAGCAAAGATGAAGCATATTGTAGGTGTCCTTTCAGAGCGAGACGTTGAGGGGTTTTCATCTGCTCGCCACAGCTTGAGCTTGTTGCCGGTAAGCGGTCACTTGTTGAAGATGGTAAATGACAATGTAGTTTGTTGGCCTGGGGACTTCAACAACTTGGGGTGACATCTTCCGAAGTCAACGAAGTCGCAGTGCACAGACTGTTGTATTGGCATGTGGTGGGAGAAGATCCTCAGAGCTTTGCAGTCTTGAGTGCGGGGGAAAGTCGCCGGCCCAACTGAATGCTGAGCAGCTGACCAGCCAGCCGCGGCCAGCCCCGGAGCCGTCACTGCTCTGCGACGAGACCGAGATGCGGACGTACGTCACGGCCGCTCCTGTGGTGCCCACAAGCGAGAAACTTTCGGAAGCTAAGTCCAGCGTCGCCCGGGAGTCCCTAGGTTCCAGAGCCCGCAGAAACAAGTCAGAACACCCCGTGCAACAAGAAAATAAGCTGAGACGAGACCACCCTTGGAGTCTGCGATTGAGACGTGCTTCACCGAGGAAGAGCGACCGATCGGTAGATAGGCAGATGTAGACAATGTAGACAGCAAGGCGAGAACAATTGCAAGTCGCGTGACTAGCATGTTCTGGTCTTTGTTGAGGAGTCTGTCGGGGACATCGAGATTAGTCGTGCCGTCGCCTCAGCAAAGGAAACGTTTCATGCCAGAACGGAGTCAGGAGTCTGCGAACCAGTCGAGGTGCCATACATTCGCTTGTGCACGTACCTTGTCTACAAGTTGAACGAGGCTTGGCTGGATGAATCTCGGTGGGCGTTCGCATGCCACCAAGCCCAGCGCAATTTCCCTGCGAACCCTCTGCCTTTTCCATACAGCCCTGCTTCATCAGTTTCTTGAGTAGTCAATGTAGCGACTACAGCGAATGTCAAAGCAACACGCGAATACCGTCAGCGATCACACGGAATACAAGCGATGTAACCCCTGGCTGGAGGGAGGGTGTTCACCATCGTTTACGGCCTGTTCCCGGGCCCAACCACAAAGAACGAAACTTACTCAGTGAATGCCTTAGCAAAATGCAGGGACCACCACGAGAGGTTCTTTAACAAGCTTATCCCGCAGGCTTCTTCAAACAGGAAGTTGGAATGGTTGTTTTTTCGTCAGCCCAAGGTTGTGCAAGGTCTGTGATCGCTGCACAGCAAATCTTTTCAGCATTTCTCTCTCAAGCGGCCCGGACAGGTTTTTCTTTTTGAGGACCCATGTTCTGGGATTGGCCAGAAACATCGAACGATCATCAAAACAGTCAGAGTTGCCATCAGTGAGGCCCGGCAGAGGCTTTGAAGGGGCTTTTGGCAAGCACCCTCCGATCTGCGATGAACTTCGCATTGCGAAGCCCCCGAAGGGGAACTCCTTGGTACTGCAAGGCACTCTAGGTTCCACAAGTGACCGTTCGTGTTTGGGGTACCTTGCTGTATTTTGTGGAAGATGTAGCTAGTCACCTGCACCTACTGTCGTTCAT